ATTTGTAACTGTTCTACGGTCTTCCGTGGCTATTGGTCCACTACGTCAATAAAACCGCTAGGTTTATTTTTTTCATTTTAACGCCCCGACCGGGAACACGTCTTGCGACTAACTCGTCCATTTCAAACACCCATTTTAGCTGTAGATCCAAGACTCTTTAAGAATGTTTCTAGAATACGTTTTACAAAGTACGAGTACCCTTCGAACTTTCCAGCATTTTTCACTCATCCTAAGGATTTATACTCGCCGGTGTGAGAAGGGTGTAAAGGGTCCATCGGTGGAAGCGACTTTATTATCTAAGTCCTCATTGAAGAGCTGGAATGTTCAAAATTAACTGGCAAACGACCTTGCAATAATGATGCGTTGAATGAGATGAACAGACTTAGTAACTTATCAGGTGAAAACTAAAAAGTATAAAATAAAATTAAGGTAAAAAAAACATTTTTAAAAACAAGCTTTTATTTAAATGCGCTAAAAGGAAAAACAATAAACTTTTTCTTTCTTTTTAGCGCATTTAAATAAAAGCTTGTTTTTAAAAAGGTTTTTTTTTACCTTAATTTTATTTGATTATTATCTTAAGAAAAATGAAATTGTCAAATTCCAATATAGAATGATATTGGCGCTATGCCAGTACCGGCCCGTTGCCAGCTGCAAACAGTCACACATAGTAATATTGTCGGGTTTTGTTTATGTTTACATGACTTTTTACTGCTGTAACCCATATTCAGGGAGCCATTTCACCATAAAAATGTAAAATAACTAAGTAACATGTTTCTGTTTTCAAGTTTTCCTGGGAACATCAAAAATATTGATAGTAACTTCTGTTTTTTGCTGCAGAACTTTTATCCGATGCATACCTCGGTAATTAATATTTAATTTATAGGCATTTTAGTTCGATGATATTTCTGCTTCTTTTCGCTTCTCCTTTTCTGTTCACTTAGGGGCAGTTCAAGTATTACGTAAGCAGATTTATTACAATTATTTACCCCCTCCTCCCCCTCGTCAGCAAAAGTAATCAAAGCTCTTACCCCTCCCCCCATCCTTACGTAAACATTGGTACCTATATGCATTTTTCCTTTAATTTATTCTGTTTTTTTATTGATTCATGAGCTTTCATGAGCTTCATGAACAGCAGTACTTAAAAAGGCTTAATCGATGATGCTGACGTATTACCATCTCTACCCCCCACCCCCCATGTCATCAAAAATAAGCAAAACAAAGATCCCCTGCCCCCCTATAGTGCTTACGTAATACTTGAACAGCCCCTTATGTGATAGAAAACTAGAAAATTTACAGGACAAGCAGACTCATACTAGTTGCATCACGGGCGTAGCCAGGGGGAGGGTTTTGGGGGTTCAAACCCCCCCCCCCCCCCCCGAAAAGTTAAGATATCAACATCAATAATATCAAAATAAGGAGAGGCGAGCGGCATAACTTATTTAATTACTAATTATTACACTAATACTGTATTTTGGATTCGCCATCTACCACCCGCCGCCGCCCGTCGTCATTTATCCTATCGCATTCGATAACCTTCGTATATTTTCATTTCGTATCGGCACGGTATTGTTATGTATCCCCACCCACTCTATCCCACTCGCGCTCCCACTCTCGGCAATGCTACCCTAAAGAAGTACGTCTGTTGTCAAAGCAGAACTTCAAGTGTGGAAAGCAGCTGTGACTATCACCTCCCCTACTCCAAAATCTGCTTTGGAATGCTTAGATAAGTGCGATCAAAAATTATTTCCAAATATTTACACGATGTTACAAATATTGCCTACCATACCTGTTTCTACTGCTACACCAGAAAGGACGTTTTCAAGCCTAGGGAGACTTAAAAACTACTTGCGGAACACAACGAGTATAAATAGACTGAACTGCTTGGCTCTCATCATAGATATCAGAAACAAAAGATTACTTTAACATCTCTGTGGCTCTCATGAATATTTACTATGGTATAGAAATTGACGTGAATGAAGTAGTGGATATATTTAAAAAGAAAAACAGAAGATTAATTCTGCTGTAATCAGATGAACCTTCTGTTTCTTTTTAGGGTTCCGTACCTCAAAAGGAAAAAACAGAACCCTTATAGGATCACTTTGTTGTCCGTCCGCCCGTCCGCCCGTCCGCCCGTCCGTCCGTCTGTCAAGACCATTTTTCTCAGAAACGCCTGGAGTCATCAAACTGAAATTCATATCTAATACTCATATCTACTGTCCGTTGGAGCTGTGAAAAAATCAAACTCCTAAGCCAAAGCAATCAAAAGATACAGCCGTTTATGCCGCAAATTTCTAAATTTTCGAAACTCGCACGGGAATCAAAACCTACAGAGTACTTCCCGTGAACTTAGGATCTTGAAATTTGGTACGAAATAATTTCTATACATACAAAAAAATGCTTCCAGCGAATTTCCTGTTTTTGGAAAACGATTTTTAAATAGGAATGACCTAAAATTACCAACCAACTCCTTACAAAATATATACTGCATTTCAATGACTGCGCTGACCCACCAAACGTCTCGTCGTGGCATTAAAACGGGGTTGCGTCACCACAAAGAAAATAGAGCCGCGACCTATTTTTACGTTAATTCGTTGTGTTCCTCGAAATCAAACAATAAAGCAGCCATTACAGATCGCAGTGTTAAATCGCTAAAAATGTAATGTGAATGTCCGCTATTACCATGGTTCAGAATTTTCAGTCCGTAATTGTACCTATATCAATTATCCTACTTGCTACCCAGAACATAAATTTCGTAAAAAGTTATCAATACTAATAAAAGACAGAATAAGTATTAAAGTTAGTACCTTAGCATTTTTCTCACGCGAGGTGACAGTGATAGAGCATAATAATTATTATTTGTGCAAGAAGACAGCATTTATGATAGACATTTTTTTTATTAAAATATAAAACAATTGGTTAAAGTTGATGCTTGAATACATAAGTAGCATAGTTGGCCAGCCCATCGCTTTCAGTAGGTACTTGTAATAGTAGTAGTTATAACCTTAGGTTATAACTGCCCAACAACTATCTTTATTCGCCGTACGATACATATAGAGAGCATTTTATATGGGAAAGTTTGCAGCTGGGACAAAGTAATTGTTTTTCTTTTGGTCTTGTTGCCTTGTCCTATATCATGGAAAGTTGGTAGAAGTATTGGTTGTCTTGATTTATATTTTTTGTAATTTTGTTCTCATTAAACAAAGTAAAATTATCATTAAGCTAGGTTAGTAATCGATAATGTCAAATCCTCTGCTTTGAGGTCAAGTCTATAAAAAATCTAATAGATATCAATAAAGTAATCGTTATACCGATCTGCCACCTTGTAACGGTTTCTGCTAATGAATCAAAAAATGACAAAGATACAGCACTTCAAAATTTGGGAGTGGGGGCTTAGGCAAAGTGAGGGCGAACCGAAATAAAGTCCTGGCAATAATAGCGGCGAGATTTGACTGTCCTTACATTCGGCATTGTTGTGCACAGCATATATTATCTAATAGAGGTGTGTAATTTTATTACATATTATTGTATGCTATTTTATATTCAATAAATGCGGTCTGATATAAATAAGAAATTTGTGTATGACATTATAAATTATATTAAGATATCTGGACTTGAGTGTGTTTTCCTAAACAGTTAATATTTTTTATTTAATGAAAAAAAAAATAATGAATTTTTAATTATGTAATTTATTAATATATTTTTCTCTGCGATAGATAATTTATAACTGTTTTGATTGAATTTTGAATTAAATAAATGATTAGTTGTATTTTTAGTGACATGTACCTATTTCAATAGTAAGATTATGAGTTATGTTGCCCGAAATAAATGAATTTTATTTTATTCATATATTACTTTTTGATAATCTACCTGATATACGAAGAAAAAAGTTAGTCGTCATCCCTAATGCTACGTAGCATCTCAGCCGCCTTAAATAATGTGACCAGCCCCCCTAGCATGAGTAACAAAACGCGATATGATAAAGCGATTTATCGACATTAACTGTCAAACTACTATGGAGTTTGACAGTTGAGTGTCGATAAATCGCTTTATCATATTATCGCTCAAATTGTAAATCTACCGTAGTCTACCTCCCGATTTGGTAGACTACAGTAGATTTACAATTTGAGCGCGCTACGAGAGGCGTGGTAATGATACTGTCCCAAAATAGAAGAAAAAAAATGAAAGATGTTTGTATCAAACTAATATTATAAAAACGAAAGTTTGTGAGTGTGTATGTTTGTTACTTCTTCACGTCTAAACGGCTGGAGCGATTTAAATAAAATTTGGTATTTAGTTAACACATAGGCTATGTTTTACTGCGGGAATATCCCTAATAAACCGCGGGTAATACCGCAAGGTACAGCTAGTTACTAATAATTATATGTCGGATATTCACAGCAATAAATTAAATCCCAAAATTGAGTAAAGAACGTATATTATCTTATTTAAATATGAAACAACCGTGACTCTTCCTTGGATTTCACAGAATCACTGGGATTTAGAGCTTTTCGTGCAAAAGGTAGAAAAGCTGCCGTTGCATTGCATCTAACAGGATAGATATCCTTTTTGATGTTGCGATGTTTGTTTCGGCCTTATTGTTTTAACAATATCCCAATGCGTTACATGTTGCTGCCTCAAAACCAAAATGGTCTCGATTGCTTTAAATCGCTTAATTCGGTAAACTATCAGAGTACATTCAAGGCTCGATCTTGAGTCGCGATTATAAAAACTTGTCGGTGTCCAACCTCCGCCGCGCCGTATACTAGTCGTGCTTGCTCTGCTGTGATTACAATAGATGCTCATGCTCATGACTGATATGCCGGCGGTCTGCGACAGTTGCCAGTAGGCGTCTAAATAAACGACCATGGCCCCAATTCCGCGTTCACTGCAAGCTTTGTCAATTGAATCGATGATGCCATAACCCGTAAAAGTAAAGTTAGATAAATCAATGTCTCACTGTTCAAGAATAGAAACCATAATTTTGTTTTTTCTTGTTTCAGATGCAAAATGCGTGTGGATGACTGGATGTGAATTATAACTACACAATATTGACACCGGCAGCAATAATGTCGAAACTAGTCAACAAGAATCTCATAACGCTCAAATGCGTATTGTTTTGTTTTCTATCAGGTAAATGAAACATTATTTAAAAATAAAAATAAGGTAAATAATAATAAAAAGCTTGTCGCGAGATTTAAGTACTCGTATTTACTTCCTTAGTTTTAAAATTTTAATAGGCAGCAAGTAAATACGAGTACTCTCGCGACAATCTTTTATAACATATAAATTGTGTCAAATGTATTAAATTTGAAATGACGTTATAAGTTAACAGTAAAGGTTTTAGTGTATAAGTTTATTTTTTTTTCTTTTTAGCGCATTTAAATAAAAGCTTGTTTTTAAAAAGGTTTTTTTTACCTTAATTTTATTTTATACTTTTTAGTTTTCACCTGATAAGTTACTAAGTCTGTTCATCTCATTCAACGCATCATTATTGCAAGGTCGTTTGCCAGTTAATTTTGAACAGTCCAGCTCTTCAATGAGGAGCCCTTCTAATGATTTCACCCTACTTAAGGCCACATATGCTTGACCAGCGGCAAAGAGCTTCGAGCCCAAGTATACAACGGCGCATGGTCGACGGTACTACCCTGCATTTTGTGTACCGTACAAGCCCAACATAATATATTGGAATCATTCTCCTTTCTGCAGTGCCGTGACTATATTTTGCTGGAAATTGCACAGTCTTAGGTTGAATGAGATGAACGCCGTCTTTACCGAAGTTTATACGTCCGTATAGGTATGTCAGTATCATACATTTGTGCTCTCCGGAAGCAAGGCCATAATATTTCTGTTATATATCCGATTGCACCATTCACAAGACCCTTGGATACATCTACATTGTACCGTAACATTACTTTCGCCGCAACAAATATTTCTAACTCCTTAGGAAACCCTCCAGTCTTATTTATATCAGATGGTATAATATTATTTAAATCCACGTTGTCATTGTTTTGAGTACTATCTAGTAGACTATCCTGTGCTCTTATTTTGTTGATAGTTATACTTTGAGCCCGGAAATGTTCGAGAACACTTTTCTTATGGTCATACACTTGTTGGTTAGTGAGATAAATTCGTAGGGCCTTTTCAATTGCAAATTCACCTGTCGGTTCTTTGTTTAGTCGATTCATTAAAATAGCAAAATGTTCAGATTGAAGTTCACCAACTCTTAATGCGTTTAAGAGGTCTTTAAAAGTTGTGCTACCTTGTTGTCGCATATTTTCGGTTAATACAATTAACATGAAAGAGCGCCATAGGTGTGTTGCTGGGATAAACCTAGCAGGTTGATCAAACACTTGATTTCCTCTCACTGGAGGTAACGGAGTTGTCTTTCTCCTAGACAGGTTGCAAACCAATGCTTTTGACGCCCATCCCGCCAAAAAATATTAACCAGTTCATGCTACAACCCTAACTAAACCAACATGATATCATATCAAATGCTTACCCATACACAAATATGCACATACGTACATACATTCATACATACACACATATATACACATATGTACATACATGCATACAAATACCATGTAAAGACAAAATATACTCGTCAAGAGTTATTCTCAGCAAGACCTTTCATTTGATACCCATATTGTAGGCACGAATAAAAGAAAATTATCCGCCATTTTGGGTGTTCTGCCTTGTTAAATTTGAAATGACGTCATACAGTTAACCATGCCTTGTCATCCAAACTGAACGTGCATACAAAATTTCAACTCAATTGCTTAAATATATCTGTTTCAAAATTGATATTTGAGTTTTAGTAGTCTGCCATATTGGATTAAGAGTGACGTCACATTCTTTTTCGGGTTATTCTCAGCAAGCCCTTTCATTTGATACCCATATTGTAGGAACGAATAAAAGAAAATTATCCGCCATCTTAAGTGTTCCGCCATATTGGATTTAGAATGACGTCACACATGCATTGTCATCCAAACTGAACGAAAATACCAAATTTCAGCTTAATCGGTTGAGGACAAGTGCTTAAAAATTGAGTTGTAAGATTTGACCCGAACAAACATACATTGCAAGTTAAATAAAAGCTTGTAATACAACACTAGACTGTCAAAACTATATAGGTAGGTACACCTATTTCTTCAACTTATCTAGAAACATATTTTATAAGTTTGAACCATATGGTGTTGAAGTTTTTTTATATCAATCTAGGATATTTTATACGGTAAAGAAGGCAAAGAAATATCCTTTTCTTACGGCTATGATATAAAAATACTCGTGACATCATACTATTACCGCGTGTCTTGCTTGTCTGTCGTTGTTGTCGGTCGACAAACAGCAGTGTGAGTGTGACCTATAAGATTGTGTGATCTGATTAAGAATTTGTAGTATTGTACAATATTATATCATACACATAAATAGCCGAATTGGTAAATTAAATTATGGTCATTACTAGCTATTCATATTGAATATTTTTACTTAGTTACAATATATTTATGTTGCTTTGACAAGCAATTCGAAAATACCTACCTAACTTACCGCTCTACTTTTAATTCGCAGATGTTTCCCCAATCTATTTTCATTACAAATATGTTTGTGTAGGTACTTCGAAAAAGTACAACCAGTTGCCCTTGTTGCGAATCGGTCACATGGTTTGTTGAGTCCAGCAAAAAGCAGTTATACCTACTCGATCGCCGCAGATGAGCCTCATCGCGAACACTGACATGTGTGTGTCTTGGCGTGTCGCAAGCTTCCTTCTATGGAGCACCAGCCGGAGTGATTTAGGGACCATTCACCCCGAACTTGCTTCTATATCGACTTATCTGTCCGCAGTTTTAAGAGATCACAAAGCCCGCATCAAGATCGTTGCGCGTACGCAATTTTATGGCCTCTTATCGTCTGTCTGAGTTCATAACTCAGTTACTCGTTTGTGTTCGATGTTTAATGAGTATTTATATTGAGTACTTATTTATTGTTAAAAAAAAGTTGCATCTTTAGTTATACTTATAACTCCTCTGTATTTTCGTTGAATAGCTTTCATTATTTAATTAAGTAAATTTTCTTGCAATTACATATTCGCTACAAACTTGCATTTATCCTATTTTATTTTATTTAGATGACGTAGCAAATGATCCACCCTAGCCAATGTTGAGCGTTAGCAGAGTCAAAAGCAAAGCATAGCAATAGCAGCTAGCTCTTGATTGAGCAGAGATATGACCCTCAGTAACCCTTCTTACTTAAGTTGCCTTCCTTGAAGATCTGGCAACCCTACTTACTGACTGCAACAACACAATCCAGAAAAAGTTTTCTCTGGTTCAAATTGAGACACGGAACAGCGGATATAGGACCCAGAAAATTCACTTTTCTATAAAAGGTTACACACCATAGTCACTTTTGGCGAATGAGCAATACTTAGATTCGTAATTTATCGATATGCATACCAGGTTAACATTTCAAATGGCTATTGGATGGTAACATCGAACTCCACGTTGATTCGAAAGCCACGTTTAGCCGTTGGTCTCTGCTGCGTCTGCAGTTGTTAGCACCGGAGACTTTTATATAATTAGTTTTTAGCTTTTCCGATCTGCACTAGGCCTGCGTGGTGTGGTGGGTTATTACGACATTACATTATCTCGAATTTCTCCGTGGTTCCAAGGCCACGTTTAGCCATTGATCCCGGCTGCGTCTGCAGTCGTTAGCACTTCCACCCCGCAATGGACTTACATGGTATGGTGAGTTATTTATAGCCGGTTCTTCCTATTTTGTCCAAAAGTACTGTACTGCAATGGGGACAATAATAGGTTAACAAAACACACACAAAAGTGTGTGTAAACCTCTTTGCACTGCACTCATGAATCTTAGTAACGTGTATAGGTAGCGAAAAACTTCTTAAACAAGACCACTAGATGTTTTTGTATGTTAAGTTGCTACTGCGCAGGCATCTGTTGTCGTCCTCAAGAAGTTTACCGGGAGGTATACCAATAACATATGTTAACGTTTTTTTATTATTTACAGGCGTGGGATGTATATTTCCATACCTACCGCTGCACATGCTCCATGTGGGGCTGAACAGAGGCGAGGCACGCCTCATATCGGCGGTCGCGCCCTGCGTTGCCATCCTCGGGCCGGCAGTGCTGGGATGCCTTATTGACAAGTCAGTCGATCATTATATATGAGTCTCTGTAAACAATTCAGAGGCCTAAGTACGAAGTTTTGACACCTCCGGAAAGTATCGTCATCGTCAAACTTTGTATGGAAAAAGCTAGTTTGTTACCATGTCCAATAGGGGCGCTGCTTAGTTTTCATAGAAACTTTGACGATGCGATACGAATACGGAGCTGTCAAAATTAGTGCTTGGGCCTCAGTACCTTCAAAAGCAGTCTAGTAAATGTACAAGAAGTATTCGAAAACTGTGAGACCTTCATATTTGATCGTTATTACATTACATCTCACGATAGCGTTCATTGTACACGTCTAAATTTCGTTATAGAGATAACATAACAGTGATTGTAATTTTTAAAAACTCATAATATTCATACTTTGTGAAAATAACAAATAGGATTTGTAAACTGTTTTGGATAAGACTTAAACTTATCCAATTTACCTAATCTCAATTATGAACTCCTAGAAAATCGATAAGCGTGTAGGTCACTGAAGCAAAGTAACTGGGATTACTTTCATAATACTAGAAGCAACAAAAAAACTAAACAATCGACAGTAGATAATGTTCATTCTTATATAAAATATTTTGTATATTTAGAACATGTCAACCTCATCCATAATGATCCCGCATAGGTATCAGCCCAAATTTTTTATTGACCCGGCCTGATATCGATCCCGTCACACCATAAGTGCGATTCTGTAACGTAACAACTAACATTCATTGCACTTAAGAGTTCGGATGGTTTAATTTTTTCGATAAATAATTTAACATGACTTTTCAGTCCTTGTAAACTGATAAGGATATACTACAGTCAAATGTACATATAGCAAATACGAATAGCGATAAAGTGCTAGCATAACATTATGTCATATATTCGAACAAACCTAGCTGCACAATGAGAGTACTTAATGCTTGTTCGGAGGAGCTCGATAGCGCAGGTGGCTAGCGTGTTCAGCTGCGATCATTGGATGTTAAGCAACTTTCGAAATCGTCGGTCATTGGATGGGTGACCAAAACTCTTCTATCTCGAGTTCCTCCGTGCTTCTGAAGGTACGTTAAGCCGTTGGTACCGGATGCATCTGCAGTCGTTAGCACCCCCCAATCCGCACTGGGCCCGCGTGATGGGTCATGGCCCTATCTTCCTATTCCATCCATGGGCAAGGCCTGTGCCCCAGCAGTGGGGACATTAATAGGCTGATGATGAATGCTTGTTCAGGTTATCGGTGGGCCGTGGTTCCACGGGTGGGGTTCAGGGTACAAGCGGTTCAGGGAAGCTGCTGCGCATGGTGACCGCTATATGCCTCATCCTGAGCGCTTTGTTCTACACACTACTGCTGGCCGTGCCGTATACGGAACGACATGAGGTGAGATAACTTGACGTGACGGGTTGGTAACGAAGGAATAATAACGGGTAAACGGAAACAACAATAAATTCAACGGATAAGAATTTCAGTTCGCCTCACATAATTCAAAATTATTGTTAGAGATTTTTTCACCTTAGTTTAGTAGTTTACTACCCTATGGTTTAGTTATAATAAACTATAATATGTACCAAGCAAGCTAAGTTGACCTGTCATCTCTAATAGTTTCTTGCGTCATCCAGTCTATTAACAGACTTTTAGCAAGGAAAACTTTTAATTGAAAAATATCAATTCGTCCCATGTTTTACTCAGACTTTTCGTTACATATAAAATAGACAAAACTAGGTATGCTTAAATATTTTCTATTTGCGCAGTTAAGTTAACAGCTGGCACATTCTATGTATTTCTTTTACTTCCATGCCGTTTTTAATAATTATGTTTTTTGTCTTTCCTAAGGCGCGACGTCCACAAGTTTTGTTCATGTGCGATGCCGACAATACATACGTCATGCAGGAGGTCTGCAAGGAAGACATGCTCTGTAATAGTTGGTCGGGAGTTAAGGTGAGTACTTAAATAACGGTGACAAAAATATATGTTTTGTCCAAAATAGTTCACTTCTTCACTGATGGATATGATAAATTAAAAAAAAACAGCTTTCCATGTAAAAAGACTTGAAATTTTATAAAGTTATGTACCCGTCAAGTCGCTTTAATAGCTTTAAAGAGCAAAAAAATCTACAAGGTTTACGCCTGTCAAATACGAATTGACCCGCGTATAGTTTGTAAGAACCATATTTAATAGCTTGGCAGTCAAATGGTGTAGCAGTCAAGCAAGCGATCAGTGTAGCTTGCTAAATATCTGACCGGTCAGGTAGCATCATGGCACATGTTTAGCTAATCATCAGTTAATCCATCCTAAAACCTAATTATACAATCTAATTTTATGTTCATCATCATCCGAGTACCTCAACCGTTCTCAATCGCAACTTACTTCTATGTACAAAGGTGAGGCATAGAAGAAATGATGTTAATTTTTTAACTTTCCGATCATTTAAAGACCAACCAAATATAAAAATATAAAAAGCTATATCGAATCGAGTGGACTATAAAAAGGTAAAGAATATTTATTCTTCAAAAACAAATAACAGTTGCAAACGTAAAACTACGAAAGCAACCACAGTGAATAACTGCACGTAGACCGATACAATAAAGGCACCACAGAGGTGTCCAGCATTTACAGCTGCTGAAATTAGTATACCACTACCACAGCATCGAAGTGGACAAGGCCGCCGTTCGTCAGAAGGCCTTTTAAGAGAACACAGACACACACAGGTCGAATGGCAGCTTTGCGAGCCCGAATTTTACTCAAGTTCGCGGGTAAAAAATATATTTGTGACATGCTCATAGGATCTCTGCATGCAGAATTAAACCTGGATTCCGTAATTGAAAACTGAACAAATTTCCTTCATAAAATGGTGAATTAACTGATTGAAAACCAAATTTCATGTTTTTTTTACTATTACCTACTTTATGAACGATGACTTGTCATAAAATATTGTTATACAGACAAACAAAATATCTATTTCAAAAATCGAAGATCGTTGGATTTATTTTTTTATTAAATAAAGTTTATTTAGTACATTCTTTGCACGCTCACGTGTTCCATCCTTCCTGCAATCTGGGGTCCTTTAAGAGAGTCGTGAAGAAGCATTTTTGCAGACCGGCAAGGTGAAGATAGTTGGTGTAGCAGTTTTTAACCGCTGTACCAGCTATCTTCTGTTTGGACTTTATCACCACTTAAAATCAGATGGGGTAGAGTCATTTGCCTACCTGGTTATAAATATATATATATATTGACTTTAGTGTTGCCCAAATTCAGTCTTGGTCTTGCAGTCTTGGTCTTGTTCTTGCGTTTTTGCAAGACCAAGACCAAGAACAAGACCGCGTATTTTTAGCAAGACCAAGACCAAGACTGACCGTGCAAAACTTGAGCAAGAACAAGACTTATCCGGCAAGACTCTTGCGTCTTGCAGCTAGGACTTAGCGCTATTTCACGGAGTAGTTAGGTATAACAGTTCGGTGTGTAGGTACGCTTAGGAATTTTATGAGACGCAAAAAACTGTATCAAAGAATATGAAAAACTGGACCTATGCGCATTACGACCAATACCATACATACCATACCAAACATAGATAGCGAATAAAAAAATAACCATTAAAATCAAACAGAGTGCATGCATAGTTTTGTTTTAACCATCGGTTCTTTGATAATGCGGCATCAAAGGTTTTATACTGACTTCTCAAAGAAATTTCCCGCTTTTCGGAAGTACATGGTGATGATACACGCGCCGGCGGCTTCTATTGGAATCACATACAACAATCGTTGCCGCCGCGCCGAAATCACAACATTTGACACTATTTGATTGCCGCCACATGGCCTATACTCATGTAAAATTCTAATATCGTGTCGTGCCGTCCCACTCACGCTAATACTATTTAATATATGAGCGAGCGAGACGGTGCGACACGTATATGGGTTTAAACTAATTACTTAGGTACTATTATTGTACATTTAGTCAAAATATTTCTTAAGTTTTTACAAGAAAAAAATAGCAAAAAAGTGGTCAAATATCACCCGTTTGATAAATATTGTAGCCACTTAAATATACTTGAAACGTGTAAAAAAATCTACAAAACTAATAAAATAATATAAAACGGCATATAGCTCAGTTGATAACCATGTGGCAGTTGATTTTTCGAATTTATTATCAAATCTTCAGACATTTATTAATCTGATTGGTCTTTACTATGGCTATGTTAATTCAAGCTCACAATGTTCCAATTCTAATACGTTTTTCTAAGATCTAAAGTAAACTATAATAAATAGCAATAGTCTAATAGGTAATTGCAAGACTTGCAAGACTCTTGCTGCATGACCAAGACCAAGACTGGGAGCGCAAGACCAAGACCAAGACCAGGTGTATTGGCGCAAGACCAAGACCAAGACTGGCTAAGTCTCGTCTTGTTCTTGCATTTGGGCAACACTAATTGACTTAGGTCTGCCATTATTTTTATGTACTCAGGTGAGGACTGGGTCCTGATGTATTCATGTGAGTACATAAAGAAAAACCAGTAGGAAAAGCTGCCCCTGTTTATATTTTCTCATCCCCAGAGCTGCATACAGACCCAATATATATGGCCTTTTTTTACTCTAGAGGCTAAGGTACGATACCAAAAATAAGGTCTTGTTATGCTAATAAGTGAGTTTGTACTTCCAACAGACTGGCGTGTTAGCGGTGACCTCATGCGAGTATGGTTGCGCCGATGACAACATGACGTGGGTGAAACAACCTTTCCCAACTACCACCACCACGACGATGAACCCTGCGTTCTATTCAGACAACCGCAATGTAAGTATCATCAGCTATAAAACTCTATAGACTACATTGAATGAAATGCACCGGCATATTCGAAAATTAGTACTGTTTTTGTTTTAGAGAAAGATTCTTTCAGACCAACTTTTTTATAACTTGCCTATTATTTATTTACGTGATTAACGAAGCGTAAAATTTTAGCTTTTTAGTTAAACTTAAAAGTTAATTTTTCTTCGATTTTCTTCTTCTTTTCTTTATTAGGCTTCTTCATTCACAAAACATTGAGTGGAGAGTGAGATAAGAACAGAAGAATATTATATGATAACACACGTCATCGCATATTGAGTAACAAACGGAAAATACTTTTCGATGAGCAGGTATTTGCATAGGTTCACTGTTATCTACGTCAGGTCAAGAGCGATCATTATCATCTGTAACAATCACGACTTACTAGTATGTGGATAGGTACATACTGTGAATATTTCTTTCATTATTTTTATCATTAATTTAAGTGAGGTAGGGCATAGCGGAGTTTGGGGAAGTGACCTACGCCTTACAAAAGACTACAATAAAATAACACTACCCTTTGGTGGTGTTGTGTTTCTGCCAATGTGTCAGGTTCCAGGGCTCCACGGGGTAGGAGATGCGGTCAGGGTAGGCAACGACGCGAGTGATATTGTTTGAAACGCAAGCGTCTATAGGATATGGTGACCGCTTACCATCAGGCGGGTCTTATGGTTGTTTGCCACCCTTTTAACATTAACAGAAAAATATGATTGAGTGAAAACCAGATGCGTATGACGTGATGCACCAATAAACAGTCACTGGCATTGTCAAGGCTCTTTGTACTCCACTACTGATGCCGTATTAACTTTCACTCATTGTAAAACGTAACAAATCTAGATCGTGTAGCGGTGTTCCGTTTTAATGATGTTGTTGATGGCATGATAAATGTTGGATAGAAACCTAAATAAGTACAGACAAAAATAAAAATGCTACATTAAGTATGTACCGAAATAAGCATAGGACTTTTTGTCGCTTTTTTATGTCTAGGGATAAGTAAGTATCTTCTAAATTCTAATCCATTTTCCAAAACTTCCGAAGGCAACAAACAGGGTTTGTTTGTTTTATTCGATATTTTTGTATAGAGATTATCTTTTATTTTCTTAACAATCCAATAACTTCGTACCTACCCATGACTTAGGCGCGACAACATCACAACTATGTAGACAATAACAGAAATAACCATTAGCTTGAGGATTTAGCACACGTTACCTTGGGTGTAAAACGAAACAAAAAGTAATATCGTTTATTTGTGATTCTCAATACAAATATTTTGGCTTAGCTTTTAGCACTAGGACATAATAGTTGATTTTCGTCATATACAACACTTTTGATGTAACTATTAAGTAATCTGTGGTTAAGTTCCAAGGGAGGAAGGGTAGGGGAGGTAGGAAATACGGCAATACTATAGTATTGCAAGCATCTTACTTACGCTGTATTGGCTATTTATCATCAGGCGGGCTATATACTCCGTTATTGGGTAACATAAGAAACCCTCACACTGCGAACTTTTGCTTCTCTTAACTCTAGTAGTAAACGAACCATAATTATGCTTCGTTCTCCATGAGGCCCCGCGCTTTGGCAAGAACATAAGGGTGACTATCCGAGATGGGCTGCAGACTATTCTATGATTTTGTATGAAATTGATTCCGAATGCGGCGAAACTGCGGCCTGCAGCTGCGGTGCGTAGCGACGGCCGCGCAGATTGGAGTGACTACGTAGTTCTATGCATAGTATAGTCATGTCAAGATTGTAAAAGCAACCACGACTGCAAGCGACACTGCGGTCGACCGCAGTCGCTAGCCGAAGTGTAGCCTGCAGCTTCAGTCTGCCGCCTCGAAATTGTCCCTTAAGAAGAGTATTGATCGACAGATGTCTTCAAACTTCACATCATTCGACGAGGTAGACGAGGATGAATACGAGATTTACCCGCCGCACCTGTGCTACGACGGGCAGTGCCTCGTGTACATGGCGCACTCTCGCCGCATGCGGGTGCCAATGTCACTGGAAGCGCCCACACCGCCCGCGGACAACTCCAGTGGCACGGACTCCTGGTGTACTTACCGCGCCAGTGAGTTAATGATCAATGTTTCTAACACACACCAATCAGCCTAGTACTTGAGCTACGAGGGGCAGTCTCCATGTCACTGGAGGCAGCCATACTACCCGCGGTCAACTCCAGTGGCACGGACGCCTGATGTACTTAGCGCGCCAGTGAGTTGACCAATGTTCCTAATACACACCAATCAGCCTAGCACCTGAGATACGAGGGGCAGTGTCCATGTCACTGGAGGCAGCCATACCACCCTCGGACAACTCCAGCGGCACGGACGCCTGGTGTACTTACCGCGCCAGTGAGTTAATCATCAATGTTCCTAATACACACCAATCAGCCTAGCACCTGAGCCACGAGAGGCAGTGTCCATGTCACTGGAGGCAGCCATACCACCCGCAGATAACTCCAGCGACACGGATGCCTGGTGTACTAACTGCGCCAGTTAGGTAATGATTAATGTTCTTAACACACACCAATAAGCCTAGCACCTGAGCCACGAGGGGCGGTGTCCATGTCACTGGAGGCAGCCATACCACCCGCGGACAACTCCAGCGGCACGGACTCCTGGTGTACTTACCGTGCCAGTGAGTTAATGATCAATGTTCCTAACACACCAATCAGCCTAGCACCTGAGCCGCGAGGGGCAGTGTCCATGTCACTGGAGGCACCCATACCACCCGCGGACAACTCCAGTGGCACGGACGCCTGGTGTACTTACCGTGCGTCAGTGAGTTAATAATCAATATTCCTATTAGCGCCGCTACACTATGCTCCACAATTTGCTCCTCGTGCTGACGCGATGTTGCCGTCTCTGCCCACACACTGCTCTACTCGTGCAATTAAACGCGATGCTCCGTACTTGGTTATCACTTGCTATACGATGGACGATGTAACTGTGACAACAAGTGCGCTATTACCTGCATTTTTAGTATAGCTGTATATGTCAATGTCATACATAGAAAAATCCGACGAAAAGGGGAGCAGTGGGCATGACGTGCGGCATGGTGAGTAATGTTGCCACACTACGTCCCTGCCTTCTTTCGTTGCTACTTCCCACACCACTCGTCGAGTATGTGGCAGGGATATAACACACACCAATCAGCCCAGTACCTGAGCTACGAGGGACAGTGCTATGTCACTGGAGGCGCCCACATCGCCCGCTGACAACTCCAGAGATCATAATAATAATAATCATCATCACCTTTTCAATATCCAAACTGATGGACAACAGGCCCTACGGAATAGTGAGATGGGTCATGTTAACGATGGTCGTGCTAACCACTGCGCCTTCGATCTCCCTAATAATAACAAATTTTGGACTCATAACAATTATTTAGTCCTGAACTATGTACGTATGACCATAACTCGGGACCTGGCTCTACTCTTATTTTCATTGATCACTGAAGAGAATGTCGATCAGTTCCTAGTAGGTCACTGAGACGACTAAATTACCTAATTTATCTTTAAAATGAGAACTCATCAAAATACCGTGTCTCTCACAGGCAGTCCCTCATGTTCGGTGCCCTCGGAGAGGTTACCCGAGTCGAGCGTAATGGAAAGTGAATGTAAGCCAGCGGTGCGCTGCCAAGTGCTGGATCCGTACGACGAGCCCGACGGTGTGTTGGCTGATGCCGAGTGTAGGCTCACTATTGGCGACCCGGCGTATACCTTTACCGTCTATTTGATAATCAGGTAACATGTAGCCATCAGCATCCCTTATTCCTCACAGGTAGTCCCACATGCTCTATACCAAATGCGGGATCCATACGACGAGCCCGACGGTGTGCTGGCTGATGCCTAGTGTAGGCTCACTATTGAATACCCGACTTATACCTTCACCGTCTATTTGATATTAAGGTAACATGTAGTCATTAGAATCCCGTTTTCCTCACAGTCAACACAAATACTCTATATCAAGAGCTGGATCCGTACGACGAGCCCGACGGGGTGCTGGCTGATGCCGAGTGTAGACGCACTATTGGCGTCCCGGTGGCTATTATATACCTTCACCGTCTATTTGATAATCAGTAAAGATGCCTTTTATAGGAATTCGGACATGAGCAGGGTTGTATTTACCCTAACGCCAAGAGAACCATGGCCTGGGGCAACAGACTGCGAGGAGCGGCTGCAAGAGCTGCGAGAGGCGACAAAAGCCATATAAAAGGCATTCGATACAAATGGCTCCATGTCGTCCGATGGTAATGTTAAGTTTAGGAGCTAAGATCAACGTCACTTATCCCGCAGAACATTTTTGTGATCTGTAATTCATCCTACTCTTACTTACATGGATTTTACAAATTGTGCTTGAAAATATTATTTTTATGAAAATCATCCATGATCGCTTCTGTGGAGGCTAAAATAAAAGTAATGGTTAAATAAATGTTGATGTCGCTTGTGGAGAATGATTTTACTATTTTCATGACAAAATTAACATCTCCCTTTCCTTTTGTAGACTACTAGCTGACATCTGGCCTACTGCCGCATTGGCGTTGCTGGGTGCCGCTTGCGTGATAGCGACTAGAGAGACGTCGCTAGGCCGCGGTGACGTCGGGAGACAATTGGCCTTTGGGACCCTGGGCTTGGCGATCTTCCCTCCTCTGGCGGGATTAGCCGCAGAATCTATGGAATCGCCATTCCTTGTGCCGTTCGTGCTTCACGCCGTTTTCATGCTGATCGGAGCACTCATTTTAATATTCGACAGGTGAGTCAACCATGTAAAATATCAGCGTTGCAGCGGCAATCCATTTGCCATTGCAACATTATGCTGAGGTGGGGCCTAATTGACAATCATATTGTAGCCATAGATTGTAACCTTATTGTAACTGAGTTAGATTATTTTGCCAATAAATGTTTTGCTTTCTTTTTAGACAAGTATTTGCGAATTGGTCCCAGTTTACAAGCATTTTTAGCAACGGATTTCCGAATCTTGAATTGGAGTAGGTACTGGTCTGGGAAAGCAATCTCCATCATAGTTGAGAGTCTGTATTATTATGGTGTTGTATTTCTGTTAATCAGTAAGGGTTTTAGAGCTGCACAGGGTTGGATATATATAGTCTGGAACTTTATATTGCTTTAATTATTTAGGAAAAGAGTGAGAGAGATATTTACAATGCTTACGAGTGCCTTTTACCAATTTCGTGGTACGGCTGTAACTAGCACAATTAATTAGAGGACCAAAGTAAAAATAAAAAAGAACGAATGTTATGAAATACCTATTTTACAAAATTATAAAAATGGCGAAAACCAATTTTCTTAAATTAGAACAACAAAACACGCAGAATTCGTGGAAAGCTTTTAAGTGTTGTTACGCAATCGCAAAGTTTTATGGTGTTTTAGAAACGTTTGCGTGTCAGTAATATGACGATCATACACACGCGATGTATTAGATGCACATGATAATGGATTGGAGAGATGACACGCCCTACGCACAACTAAAATTAATTGACTTATTTCATAATGGATACTATACAACAACTGCTTACTACACTAAATAATAATTAATTGTTCCGTATGATCAAATTGATTATGTTATTGATTGACAAAATCATAAAATAACATGTTGTTACGTGTCGGAAAGGGGTTCGATATTATATGCCAGTTCACGCTTGACAAATCTTTATTCACCACACAATTTACACAGATAACTCACAACGTTAATCACAATACACTCACAAAACACTGTACTTTACTATACAAGTCTTTAAATAATCGCACTTGAACACTACATGCACTTTCATCGCTTTGGTATTCGTTTCGAAATCGCTGTTGAAATTCAACTGTCTGTGCGCGGCGCCGATCGCGCTTATATACGCCAATCGACACATTCTAGAAAAGTCCCGTTAAATTGAGAGTTAACTAGCACCCTCGAGTGCGTAGTACATACTTATACATTCGTAGGTAACGCGCATAAGTAAACAAGGCAGCTGTCGTTGCACTTTCTCCCTTACGTCGTACCGCATAAGACTTCTCGATCGGGTAATACTTATATTATAGGGTTATAGGCTACGGTTATGAGCGAAAAGTTGCGGTTATGTGATACTGCAATCATCACATAGCACAGAAAGAGCTTAGAAGCTCCTTATGGGAGGGCAGGCTCGCCACAATTTGTGTGAGGAAATTCTCATAGCTTGACCAAAACTTGATTCTGATAGCTCCGTTGCTCTCGGGTGTGAGCGCTGATTGGTTCCATTGTTTGATGTCGCGTCTTTTGACTCGCTATTACCTATTAGGTGGAAGTGTAGTGGGGTCAAACCAGCGACATCGGTTCCCGTATGAACAGTCTATGATACTCGTAACCCTTCTAATCTTTTACTATGTTTTGTGGCGATCACAATCTATTATATAAAATTCTCGTGTCACGGTGTGCGTAATTTAACTACTCTGAAACGGCTCTAACGATTTTCGTGAAATTTTCTATGTATATTTAGTAGGTCTGAGAATCGGACAACATCAAAGTCATCCCCCTAAATGTTAAGGGCGATCCACCATATCGATCAGTGTGATACCCTTATCATCTGTGTATGTACTACATGCAGCCATATGCCGTTGTCGACCCCGGAATGGTGGTGGCACACGGCGACTGGAGTGCTGGCAATGCCCATGAACACGGTGCGGCGGTACGGGGCCGAAACTGCCGCGATATTCGCAGTCGTGGCTCTACTCGGAGTACTGTGCAGTGGGATCGACGCCTACCTGCCTTGGTGAGTATTTGCCTCGATTTTAATAATAACTAGCGGCCGCCCGCGACTTCTTACGCGTAGAGTTACTTAGAAATGAAGGTTTACTGCTCGTTCCCCGTAGGCACGGTAATAATATCGTACAGTATTCTATCTTCATACAAACGGTCGGAAAGCGAAGCGAGTCATACCTACGCCACTCGAATTCGATGTGCTCTCGGCGGGCACCCAGTCGCGAAAGCGCCGCCGCACCGCGACCGCGACGACGACCGAACGGTCTGAATTGTTTTTTATGCAGTTAGCCGTGCTTAAACGTGCGTTTTGTATTGTAAATATTTGATTTAATTAATTAGATACCTACATAATTTAGTATGGAAAAGAACAAACGACGATCAATATCGTACAACAGCACAATAGGCTAGTTGACTCATATCGAATTGTATTAAATAAATGTTTATTTCTTACAGTATTTGGTCTAAGGAACCTAAATATATCGATTTCACTTCATAAAAGCAGAAGATTGCTGTAGAAATTTAATTTTAAAAAATATTTTTAGTCTATATTTTTTAAACACTAAAAACGCTGTTCGCCACATCCGCCATGATTGTGACGTCTCTTTCAGTAAACAACTAAATGTCATTCGCGTGTTATTGTGGGTGGATTCTTTAGTCTGAATAAATTTATCTTAAAATACTTTTAACTTTAGAAAAGTTTCCGTTTACTTTTTTTTTTTGACAAAACTAATTATGGATGCCGGCTTTGTGAAAGCAGAAAGCACAAATCTGCCAAGAATTGACGCATTGATGGTTGGTGAATTTTTTGCACTAAACCCCCATTTTTGCTCTGCGGAGCAGAGAAACGACAAGGCATCTATGTAAGTACAGTGCATTTAGTATTACAATGGTGTCGATTCTGGCAGGATTTTCTAAAGCTAAACTTAAATTTGACAACAGTGCATCCTTGTTATTCTCTATACAGAATGAAAAGGAGAGACTGATGTTAAATTTAATTTTAAGTTTAGAGAATCACTCCAGAATCGACACCAATGTAGTAATAAACATAAAACTGATACAACATATGAATAAGTGTAATAAAGTTGCGTAGGTTAATTTCTTTCGGCACTTTAATCCATAACATTCCTGGAGTCTTCAAGGATGTGTTTTTATATTCTCGTACAATACAATAATGATAATTACTTTATTTTTCGTGGTATTTATTAGAAATCGTGTTCTTTTTATCATAAACTCAGATAAGTTATTTTCTACGTGCTTACGAGTTTTTGTTTACTATAATTGACATCATAGCATAGACAATCTATAGACTAAAATGGCCGACAGCGTTTTTGTATGTCCATGAAAATTCTATTTTAAAATTAAAGATTTGTAGCTTTCTAGGTCTCAAAAAAATACAATACATTTTTTTTCGGTCTAATAGAACATTTATTCACCATTTAAAACCTTTTTCCAAAAAGGGTCAACTAGCCTATTGCTGTTTTTGGTTGCTTGAACTCTTCAATAACACACCCAGAGAATTTTTTAAATTACCTGAAATATTGGAAAGGTGTCTTATCTTTATAGAATATTTTTATATACCTATCTACTAGTACGTAATTTGTTTCTAATATTTAGGTAAGTATTTCGGTTTTTCATCGGGCAAAATATCTGGAATAATATATAAATAAGTGGTTAGGATGAAAAAAAGAGACAAACGAGTAGTCTACCTACACTCGCGTTTAATACAAAACTACATAAAGTACTGTAGGCGGGCGGCCCTACCGCGTGCTTAGCGCAGCCACGGTAATATTATCTATACAGTATTGTGACTCCGCCCTGTCCTTGAAAATAAATGCCTACACCGAACGCTGCGTTGGCACGCGGTAGGGCCGCCCGCCTACAGTATTTTATGTAGTTTTGTTTTTAACGCGAGTGTAGGTAGATTACTCGTTTGTCTCTTTTTCATCACGCCGGTGCACGCCGAGAGCACATCGAACTCGAGTGGCGTAGGTATGACTCGCTTTCCGACCGTTTGTATGAAGATAGAATACTGTATGATATTATTACCGTGGCGCAGCGCTCGGTCGTAGGCATTTATTTTCAAGGACAGGGCGGAGTCACAATACTGTATAGATAATATTACCGTGCCGTAGGTGATAGCGTGATAATATGTAGCCTATATGGAGGAGCTCGATGGCGCAAGTGGTTAGCGCGTTCGGCTGCGATCGTTGAACTTAAGCAACTTTCGCAGTGGTCAGTCATTGGATGGGTGACCAAAAATTACTATCTCGAGCTCCTCCGTGCTTCGGAAGGCACGTTAAGCCGTTGGTCCCGGCTGCATCTGCAGTCGTTAGCACCCACCAATCCGCACTGGGCCCGCGTGGTGGGTCATGGTCCAATCTCCCTATTCCATCCATAGGGAAGGCCTGTGCCCCAGCAGTGGGGACATTAATAGGCCTGATGATGATGATGATGTAGCCTATATGTTGACCCGACTTCTTAATAATAATCGTGCTAAACTTGAAGTAAATCCATGCAGTACTTTTTGAGTTTATTCCGGACAAATAATACATCAAAACAGACAAAAATTCTAAAAACTGTATTTTTGGCGTCGGTATCGATTGTAGATCACATCACACCAAGTATTCTTTAAAAAAAATATTCAATGTATAGTTTTGTCTTTCCTGCCATTTTATTATATGTGTAGATAACAGATAACTAGGATCCATATTTGTTAGTAGACTTATTCTATGTCAGAGATTTATAGTTCGTAGAAGGACCAATAATTATGAAAGTAAAATTGAAAGAAAATGCTAATAAAGAAAAAAATAAGAACCTCTTCATCACTGCCCTCGGAGTACAGGCAGTCCTGGTACTTACGGCATGTAAGGTTCTCGAAATACGCGACGTGAATGGAAACGACGTAAGTCGAGACATCCCGAGGAAAGCCTGTATCCCAGCAGAGGGACATTAAAACGTTGATGATGATAATGAAGCTTTTTAGCAGGTTAAATAAAACTTCTTTTTAAGAGCTTAAAATACGTTTTTAATCTATACATATAATAAAATGGTAGGAAAGTGAAAACTGTACATTGAATATTTTTTTTAAAGAATACTTGAGGTGTGATATACAATCGATACCGAAGCCAAAAATATAGTGTCTGGAATTTTTGTCTGTATGTATGTCCGGGATAAACTCAAAAAGTACAACCTGGATTTACTTCAAAGGACAATGTTAAAATTGGCCTAAGAACCAACACCAATTTGGCATTTATGATAATTCTTAGTATATTTTTTGCGATAATTATCAGTATTTAGATTGTGACGGACACTTCCAGTTAAGTAAGCTAAATTAAAAAGTTAAAAAATAATCTGAGACAATAAATATCATTTTATGTGTATAATCTATGGCAGCGCTGCAAACAAAACACTTCTTTCTAATGCCGGCACTTCACTTGGCTATTCGTATTTGCTATTTGAAAACATGACATCAGTCTGTCCTTTTCATTGCTTATTAAGCATGACAAGGACAAACTTGTCAAGTGAAGGGCCGGCATAAAACTCGTTACTCTGTGGTTGTGGTGCACGCAGTTTGCATTCGTAGTAATCTGTGGCATTCCTGCATTCCAAAGAGTAGTATAATATACCGGAAAGTGCATTCTCGTTTCGGATTACCTGTTGTGTGTGTTTATTTGCGATTGTTTTTTCTTTAATTTAATTATTTCGGCTATCTAATATGCCATCGATGTTACCAAAGAGAAGAGCCCTTATTACCAAGTGCTAGTGAACCTGAGCCAAAACATCCTGAGAGGATCATACTGCCAAATTATTCAAGAACACCTGATACACATTCACGCTGCATATTTACACAATATACATGTGATATACAAATAAATAAAATGTACAATATGATACAATTATGTGAATAATAGTCAATAAATAAGAAGCAAAACTACAGTTTTTATTTTATTCATGATTCCTACCTAACCAAGTTTTTCCTAATAGTTATTCTCACCGAATAAAATGAATTAGTTGTAATATTAATTCACTTCATACTAAGTTCATAGGTTGACCCACGGAGGTTGACCTATGTTTCATTGAATATTAAACATAACCTCAAAAATTTTTTAGTTTTCCTAATAATTTAAGTTCTCAGAAGTGTCCGTCAATAATCTTTGTTTTTACAATCATTTACTTACGATTTTGAACCTAGAAAATAATATTTCATGATTGTTGGTTCTTAGGCTAACTATGTATGGACGCTGAACAATGTCCTTTGGCACGAATATTATTAAGAAGTCTGGTCAATATATAGGCTACATATTATTATGCTATCACCTAGGGTGAACGAGCAGTGAACCTTTATTTCTAACTAACTCCACGCGTACGAAGTCGCGGGCGGCCGCTATGTTTTTTACCCGACTGCGCAATGCAAGAGCGCGAAGCGCGACGCGCAGACAGGGTATAGTGTTTAACAGTCTATATATGTATATTTGTTCCTTTGTGGCACACTAGAGACCAAACGCCTGGACCGATATTGATGATTCATACATCAATCGATTCGTCTCAATCATGGGAGTACTACTAACGATATGATAGTAATCAAAATTCAATATGGGGACAATGTTGCGCCATATTGAGACGAAGTAAAAAAAATAAGTTGACAAAATCATGTTTAGGTTCCTTACACCATTTTTCATTTTATATGATTGTTTAGGATCTACAACGCTTTAAAGTTGTATTTTAACCACTTCCGCTTTTAATTTCAATCTTAGGTTTATATGGATCTTTGATACTCTTTCACCTAAAAAATACTGAATGGATTTTAATGAAACTTAACAGTAATATAGCTTATATATGATAATAACATATATATATAATAATTAATGTAGTTATTGACTGAATTGGACAAAATATAACAATAAGTGTCACATAAGACGGAAAAAAATCTCCCATCTGCGAGCCAGTTTGGCCTGCACTGCAAAAACAATAAAAGCTACATGAATGTAATGTAGAGTGAAAATGTATCTCTTAAATAGTTCTAATAAAAATCCGCTGAACGAGTCCAATACGTTGAGGGAATTCCCGTCTTTGTAGCGGGTACTTCTTCAGGAATCCTTGAAGTGCAATATAATTCAAAATTTGTACGCTTACATTTACATTCACTACATTATATTTACGTCGAAAAATAATCATTGGCCTCATTTAAAATATATGTATTAAATATCATTACGTTGATATTTAATAGTTAATTAGTCACCGATATTTTCATGAACGAATAAACCTTTTTTCAAATTGTAAAGAAATAAAAAAAAGAACGTTATTTCCCCGAAATTGTTCACTAATGCAATGGAGGATATGTTCAAGACGCTGAACTGGAAAGGACGTGACATCAACATAAATGGCGAACGCATCTCTCACTTGCGATTTGCAGACGACATCGTCATCATGGCAGAAACCTGCAGGACCTACAAAAATTCCGAATGACCTGGCTGACTCTTCTATACGCATCGTCCTACGGATGAACTTGAATAAAACCAAGGTCATGTTCAATGAACATGTTCTACCGGAACCGATTGCAATATACCGTGTATTGTAATCGGTTCCGGTAGAACTCGAAGCCTTTCAAAAATATGTATACGAGGTGGTTGTTAATAAGGAACAAAGGTACTTTAACAGTCGGGACCCATTATTGAAAAATATTGTATTCTTGAATATCTAATGGGTCCGGGCTGTTAAAGTAGCTTTGTTCCTTATTAATAGAATTATATACTACTGGACTTGTTTTTGCTTTTCAGTTTCTATTTGAAGTATAATTAAGCAGTCGGGTTTTTGATTTTTTAAATTTACCTTTTTTATTTCACACTTTTTAAATAGGTAACTCTACGTTTAACATCTTTTTCAGGGCGCGTGATCCTGACAACGGGTACCACTGCGTATGATGACGCATCCTAAAAAGGATGCGAAACGTAGAATTATGTCATTGTTATTTATGCAACTGTTGTTTAATAAGGGGTATTTAAAAACGAATGTGGGTTTATCACACGAGGCAAAGCCGAGTATCACATAAGTTCACATTCAATAGTATCACATGAGTGTGTTAATACCTAAATAATAGTTGTATACAAGACTTTATCTACACCCATGATATGAATCCTCTATAAAATATTCTGACACCATGGGGTGTTCAAAGAACTTCATATTCATCAAAAGTTTCGGCATTGTAGTAGTGAAACACGCGTGAATTACAAGAGTGAACTTTTAACGCGGAAGGGATTTAAAACTCGAAGGAGTATAATGAAATTTAGTACAACATCATAACACCCGTTTGGGTGTTTTAATGTTGGTAATAAGCCAACTGTTTCAGAATCTTTAGGTTTCAAATCATGAGTGTAGATAAAAAAGGATTAAAAACGCATTTTAATAAATTTAAAAAACCAAAAACCCGACTGCTTAATTATACTTCAAATAAAAACTGAAAAGAGAAAAACAAGTCCAGTAGTCTATAATTCTGTTAATAAGGAACAAAGCTACTTTAACAGTCGGGACCCACTGTTGAAAAATATTATGTATTCTTGAATATCTAATGGGTCCCGACTGTTAAAGTAGCTTTGTTCCTTATTAACAGAATTATAGACTACTGGACTTGTTTTTCTCTTTTCAGTTTTTATTTGAAGTATAATTAAGCAGTCGGGTTTTTTGATTTTTTAAATTTACCTTTTTTATTTCACACTTTTTAGTTAGTTAGTATTTTAAGACGGTATATACCGTAGTAGTATGAGAATTAATATCGCGGGAATTATTAAGTACCTGGCGTCAGCGTCGGTCTAAAAGATTGATTTATTAAGACATATAAAGACTTTACCAGCGGGGTCAAGGCTACAGATGGGCATAATTTTAAACAAAAATGGGTGAAGTTAAATCAAGTCGTTACATAAATATCTCTTATGTATGTAAATTTTATAGTAAACTAACTAGCACTTACTCAAAAAGTCATTCTTTGTTTATGTTTTTTTTTAATAGTTTAGCAGTAAATATAAAATTCATTTACTTTTATTCGTCGACTATTTAAAATTGGCAGTGGCTGCATTGTCATGTCAATGCCGGACGTCTAAGATTGTGATATACACAAATTCAGTGTCAGTCCCTAGTCTCATAATTTGATGAACCTACATAATTCACAGAAACCCAATATGTAGATGCCAGAAGTTAACTTCAAATGTTTTTAATCACCCTATATACAATACCAATCAATGACGTTTATGTCGCAGGTTGAAGAAAGCAGTAATTCCCGTCTGTTGTTTTGGACAATGGTGGCAATTGCCTTAGATCACTAAATTAAATAATTATGCAATCACCAAAGCAAAGTTTATAATATTTGATTAAACTAAAGGCGCATAATAAAATTTTCATAAAGTTAGGTAGAGCACCATAGCAATCTCATTTATTATCAATTTATAGTTCTCTTTGTAGTTTTCTTTTAAAGCGTTCACATTTAACAGGTCAAAGACTTTGTGTTCGACCCTTTTTTATTGGTAGTGTAAAGCTCGAATGAAGAGTACTCCCAGTAGTGCAATCATGGCAATTATTTTCCAAATTTTTTTTTTGTTTATAAAAATACCGAATAACGTATCACTGTTAAGCACAAATGCTAAGTAACTTTTACAAATATAATCAAATAAACCTATTACTTACTTTATTTTTAAATCTTCTTCATCAATTAAATACTTATCCTAACTATCTATACTAATATTATAAAGAAGCAAGATTTGTATGTTTGTAACAAATAATCTGTCAAACTACTGAACCGGTTTCAAATATTAATTCAACATAAGATAGCTACATTATTTATTATAACATTTTTCTTTATTTAAATACATTTTGTCCGAGTGACATAGGCTATATTTTATCCCGATAAATAAATTTCGCCCGTACAATGCCCGGGAAGATCACTAGTAAGTATAATATAATATTATAGATGCGAAAGTGAGTTTGTTCGTTGCGCTTCTGTGCCCTAATAGCTAAACCGAATACAATGAATTCCCATATAGAAGTAGATGGGAACTTGGTTCTTAGCTACAACATCGCAATACTTATAGGCGTAGGGTGATGAAAGGGGTGATTTACCTATAAAAATCTACATTATTTACTTTGAATTTTGCAGAATTATTACAAAACCAATATTATCGCGAGCTAATTAATAAATACAGGGATTCCAATAAGTATGTACTTACTAGCGAAAAATGGGGTAACATTGAGTAATATCGTTTAAAAAAATGAAAAACAGTAAAATTCTGAGTTTTTCATTAAAATTCAATAATCATAAATACCTATTATTATAATATTTTTTTTCATCATTTAATAAGAAGGAACTGTATCACAGTTTTATTGTTAGTACTTCGTATAGGATCAGATACTGCGAATACCCCATTTTTTTTTCTTTTACATAGTACACCGCGCTATCACTTTGTCATCGTTGTAACTTTTTAAATATTTGTCGAAATGACATAGTGTAAAAAGCAAAGTTTATCGTCTTTAAATATCAAAAGCGATAAAAGTATTTGTTTTGATAAAAAATGATTTGTTAATACAAAATGTGCATTTTGAAAATAGATATCTAATAATATTTTAGTTTTGATTCACTATTTTAGCGGTAATGACTTACACATTAAAAATAGATATATAGTGTCACGGACTTTTTTTAGAACTATTCAAGAGATACATTTTCACTCTATATTACATTCATGTAACTTTTATTGTTTTTGCAGTGCAGGCCAAAATGGCTCGCAGGTGGGAGATTTTTTTCCGTCTTATGTGACACTTATTGTTATATATTGCCCAATTCACTCAATAACTACATAAATTATTATATATATGTAATTATCATATATGAGCTATATTACTGTTAAGTTTCATCAAAATCCATTCAGTATTTTTTAAGGTGAAAGAGTAACAAAGATCCATACAAACGTAAGATTGAAATTAAAAGCGTAAGTGGTTAATATACAACTTTAAAGCGTTGTAGATCCTAAACAATCATATAAAATGAAAAATGATGTTCGCAACCTAAATATGATTTTTGATTTTCTAGACAGTGATACCCCACTCGACATATTTAGTCAACTTATTTTTTTTACTTCGTCACAATATGGCGTCTAATTTTGCCCATATTGAATTTTGATTACTATCATATCTTTAGTAGCACTCCCATGATTGAGACGAATCGATTGATGTATAAATCATCAAAATCGGTCCAGGCGTTTGGTCTCTAGTGTGCCACAAAGGAACAAACATACATATATAGACTGTTAAACACATAACCCTGTCTGCGCGTCGCGCTTCGCGCTCTTGCATTGCGCAGCCGGGTAATAACCCTGTCTGCGCGTCGCGCTTCGCGCTCTTGCATTGCGCAGCCGGGTAAAAATCGAATGAGTCGTGTGCGTGAAAACATAAGAAATAAATATAAAAAAAATATTAAGTGTTTAATAGTAATTTATTTTTTTCTAGGACGGTGATTGACATGAACGGCACGATGTTACACGTGGGTCTGACACTGACAGCTGGGGCACTGCCCGCTGTGCCCGCGCTTCTGTGGGCTGAGGCATTAGTCGACTACGTAGGGCACTCCAACGTGTTCATATCCGCCTTCACCTTCTACTGCCTGCGGTACACCGGTAATGACCTTCTTATGACCTACCTTATCATCTGTAAAAAAACTAGAGTGCGGATTTTTTTTTGCGTTACGATCAAGTATTACCGCGATATCTGTCTCTGGGCTAAATTATCACTTCGAGTTGTGTGGTATTACGAATTAAAAAAAAACATTGTTATTCTCGCCCACTTCACTACCTCAGCGCAGAAAATTTCATGATTTTAAATTCTCAGAACGCCATGGTTTCAGTATCTTTTATAGAGGATTGATATCATGGGTGTAGAAAAAAAAACGAGCGAGCCTTACAGTAGTCGCGTATGATGTGTAACATTTGAAACCTCACCTTATATTAGTAAAAAAAGAAATAAAACCTACTACAAAAGGAATAAGTAATTTGAACATTATATTTTAAAATCAAATCAAATACCGCGCGCTTTCGCGACTTCCTGTTATAAACTTCCGTTCTATTTCACGAAATCACTCTCACAAATTGCAGGAAAGCGAGAGGAAAGATGTTACACATCAATAAAGTCTTGTATGCAGGGTATGTAATGCTTTCATCTTCTAGGAAATATATAACTTAAAATTTTAATATAAATTAAAAATAATTAAACCTCTTCTTCTCTTAAAAGTAACCTAAATTTGAACTTATGAACAACTATTCCCAAAAAACTAGCAAAAAAATGATCAATATAAAATTAAATCAGAGAGCAAAACCGGGGCGAACCGCTTGTTTAGCTATTTCTATTGTTCATGCGTACACGGCGACTAAGGCACTTTGCAGACGACGGGGCGGGGCGGGCCGGTCAATTTCGCCGCGAATAATAGCACAAAGTGAATCCTATACTTCAAACGCACACAGATGGCAAAAAGACCGCGCTGCAGGTGTCCGGCGGGCAGTGGCGGCGCGGCATGTCCGCGGCTGCCCGCCGTGGATCATACAAACCAGTTTATATGCAGTAACGCAGACGGCGGCGCGGGGCGGTCAGCTCAGTCCGCGCCACGCGCTTATTAGTGATGGACTATTCACTAGAACGAACGTCCTAAACTGACCGCCTCTGCCCGTCGTGTGCTTTGTGTACGCGGCGCGGGCAGCCGCAGACATCGACGGGCAGACGCGGTCTTTATTGCTTAGCGGACAAAATGCCCGCCCCGCCCCGTCGTCTGCTCAACGCTTAAGGCGTTTAGCAGACGACGGGGCGGGGCGGGCCGGTCAATTTCGCCGCGAATAATAGCACAAAGTGAATCCTATACTTCAAACGCACACAGAGGGCAAAACGAACGTCCTAAACTGACCGCCTCTGCCCGTCGTGTGCTTTGTGTACGCGGCGCGGGCAGCCGCAGACATCGACGGGCAGACGCGGTCTTTATTGCTTCGCGGTCAAAATGCCCGCCCCGCCCCGTCGTCTGCTCAACGCCTAAACGTTCATTCGTCGAGCCGCTTTGTTTGACTGACTCGTTCTGCAGCGTCGACCAAACAACTTGTTTATCCTAGAATAAAATTCTTTATTTTGTCTAGTTGGTTGCCAACCGTTATTACCCCTATATAATATAGTACCCTACTATATTAGGGGAACAAATACTATATTTCTAAAAAAAATAGTAAACGAAACTGCTATATTTTGCTTAGCAAACAGACTTTTGCCAGTATAGAGCAGCAAAAATATACTCATTTCAAAAATAAAGTAACCACATACCATATTTTTTCCATTTGATTGTCATCTAATATATTTTTAGAGGTAAGAGCTTCGCAAATACTTTGACTATATTTGATAGAAAAAAAGTTGGTAACCCAGTCATGAAGGACTTTTACGTGTTCACATTATTGTAGGTTTCACTTCTATCGCATGTGCACAGCACATGTCCGTTTTTTAGGAATATATAGTAGTTTTTAAGTTCAATTATAGGTTACTTCAGTGGCGGATTTACCAGTAGGCTCAGTAGGCTGGAGCCTAGGGCGGCAGATTTTAGGGGGCGGCAAATTTGGCCCAAAATATACCAGAAAAACGAGTGACAAAACTTTTAATATTTTAGTAATCCGTATACAGGATGTTACAAAAATACAAATAAAGCTTGATGGGCGTTGAAGTACATCATATAAGGAGTCTTCTCTAATTTTCTTAAAATATTTGCATGAAGTTTTAACTTTTTTTTAAAAACAGTTATTTTTAATGATTAATAAAAATATCGATAATTTTAAGACACGTCACTAGTTCGAGGATCATTAAAAATAACTGTTTTTATATAAAGTTAAAAATTCATGCAAATATTTTAAAAAAAATTAGAGAAGACTCCTTATATGATTAACTTCAACGCCCTTCAAGCTTTATTTGTATTTTTGTAAAAGATTACTAAACCCACTGTAAAATATAGGTACTTATGCGATCATGAATTTTTAAAATATTCCAATAGCGTTTTAATATTAATTACAATATAAATTTAGTAATTTTTTAAACTAACGGGGAAAAGCCCGTACGTAATGTGGACGATAGAACACAAATCAAAGTTGCAATTTCAGAATAAATATAATTGCGAACTAGCGTATTGAATTTCAAAGGTCAGTAGGGGCGGCAAAAATTGAATAGCCTATTAGCGGCAAATTTGTAAATCCGCCACTGGGTTACTTTTAAGAAAAAGAAAGGTTTTGTAATGTTTTGTGTTTTGACATTGTGGGTTTACCTATAATGCGAAGAGATGGCGCTGCCTTGCAGCTTAAGAATAGCTAGAAAGAATTTCGACGCGGTCCGTGAGGGCCGCGGTAGCATAATTGGTCAGTGCATTCGCCCGGATTGCGAAGGGTGCGGGTTCGAGTCCCGTCTGCTGCCTGGTCCGCGTGGAATTTTTTCTAGTTATATTTTCTTTAGATTTAAACATCAAGCAGTTACATGCTTTAAAAATAATAAAAATTATAAGGTTTTGTAATTTTTATTTAATTATTTTTAATTTTTATTAAAATGTTAAGTTTGTATTTTCAAGAATATTGTAACAATATATTATTTTTTAAAATTTTCATGGTCACTAACATTATAGGAACATGTCGGCACACTGTGAAGCGCCATGATCACGGAGTAACTAAACGGAGTTACTCCGTGATCATGGCGGTTGCAACAGTGCAGTGTCGAAATATCGGAAACTCGCTAAAACGAGGTACATGGTGACAATCCCGTAAATAACTTATCTAATATATAAAATTCTCGGTGCGGTAATGTAATTGAACTACTCCGAAACGGCTCGACCGATTTTCGTGAAATTTTATATGCATATTCAGTAGGTCTTAGACAAGGAACTTATATACTAACTGGAATGCTTACGAAACAATATAAAATACTCCTAGCGCGACACGACGAAAGTGGAATCTGTCCCTTTCTTGCAACTGTTTGGGCACACTACTAGAACAATTCAGCTATACTCTTGGAACGATTTTGACGGTCACGTAAGCATTCCAGTTAGTATTTAAGTTCCTTGGTCTGAGAATCGGACAACATCTATTTTTCATCTCCCTAACATTTTTTTTGTTTTTATTTTTTTATGGTACATCATACAAAAATACATACAACCCTAAATATTCATCCTTCTACCACCAATCCCTATTTTTTTAAGGCGGTACGAAGTTCGCTGGGACAGCTAGTATTACTATAAAACCGTTAACATAAATAATTAGGTATTAAAACACTCATAAGTGATACTATTATCGTGTTTTTTTTTTATTTTATTATTCATTATACAACAGTAGCATAAATAAATATTATTTACTAATACAGGTCTGGCTTACGGCACCGATTACGCTTGGATAATAGTGTGCGAGATCCTCGAAGTGTTCACGATGAGTTTGGTGTGGGTGACCGCCGTCCTGTACTTCAGACATCTGGTCCCGCGTAAATACACCACCACTGGCCAAGCTCTCCCGGTCATTGCTCATTTTTGTATCGGTAAGTCGTATACTTTGGTGTTTTTTTCTGAGTGTGTATGCTGTTGGTCGCAGATGACCTTTACAGCGTCACCGGGTTTGGGGACGGTGATCCTAAGGGGACCTCAAGCCGAGAATTGGCGAGTGCCTTTAGAGGTATTCCAGGCGAATGGCATCTCCCCACGTGGGGGAGTCTCCTCTCCGTCTGGAGCCTCTACCTCTATACCACTCGAACCTGAGGGGGTCGGCTCAACTAGATGAACTTCTAAGTTATTATTTTTTATGAGGATTTTTTTTTACATAAATCTAATTTTCGAGGAGGAAATCATCGAGCGCAATTTTCAGCGTTAGCTACTATTGTCCTTATCGCGCGGTAGTATTTAAAAAGATAACTAGGTTTTTCAATATTTAATTGCATACCCCTTGGAAGCATTTAAACTATAATAGCTTAACACCGACTTGGCATTGAAGCGATCAATTTCCTGCAAGTTTCTATTTAAAATTTGCTTTCATGCTTCTTTAAGCTCGTGAATATCAGTTGAATGTTTCATTGCTGCTGTTTTTCTCACTAGAAAATAATTTATTTAGCTAAAGAAAATTTTATAGAAAAAAATCCACGCAGACCAGGCAGCAGACCGGACTCGACCCTTCTTCAATTACACAATTTTGGTTGCCTACAATGCAAAGAGATGGCGCTGCCTTGAAGCATAAGAAATACTAGAGAAAATTCGACACGGCCATTAGGGCCGCGGTAGCATAATGGTCAGTGCATCCATCGAGAACCGTCTGCTGCCTGGTCTGCTCGTTTTTTGTTTAGTTCTAGTGCTTCAAAGATAAAAATATCATTTTATTTAGTGTTTTGTTACGAATCTCACAAAATAAACAATTAACTAGCACAAATTATCTGGGTTAACTGAGGTACAGAACAGGTTACTTATAGAAAATGAAAAAGAATATGTAGAAAAATGTGTGGTTATGCTTTCCCTTAAAAAAGGCTGAGATTTTCACAAAACGTGTTGGAAAATTCTGTGCCATTCTGTGTTCATAGAGAATTACATTTTTTTACTGGTATAAATACAATAATTGCACCAGTCCCCGTAGCATGAGCACCACAATTTACATTATACCACGTTTTTTATCGGGTCTAACTGTCAACTCCATAGTAATTTGACAATTGACCGTGATAAAAACGCGTTATATATCATATCGCGGTGCTCATGCTAGGGGAGGCAAATTGGTTTCCTAACGTATGTCGTGCATGATATGCACAGATTGAGCTTGCATTTGCGTTTTGCGCTGCACTTCTAAAGAAACGGTTCTCTTCAACAGGTCGTTGCATCGGCGCGATAGTAAGCGGCATGGTCTCGTTATCGGAGCCGTTACAATCTGCGCGCGAAATATATCGCGCTTTAGGCATCGCGTCGCTGTTAGCGGGAGCCGTATACCTGGCGCTGTACCACCTGCTGCTCGCCCCGCGCTGCGCCGCCAGGCCCGTGCCGCCCCCGCACCACCTGCTGCAAGGTGAGATAGCTGGAAGAAACGCGACTTCTGTACCATTATTATCCCGCCACAGGTAGCTGAAGACAACCAGCCTCTCTGTACCATTAGCCCTCCACGGGTAGCTGGAGAGAACCCACCTTCTGTACCACTAGCCCTCCACAGATAGCTGGAGACAACTCTTAGCCCTCCAAATAGATAGCTGGTGAAGTCCCGTTTGTCTGTACCATTAGCTTTCTACAAGGTGGTAGGCGACGCCCCGCCCGTCTATACCACTAGCCCTACGAATCCGCGCGTAAAATATCCCTTGTTCAGGGGCATAACGTTGTTAATAGCGGGAGCGGTACACCTGGCGCTCTACCACCTGGTGCTCGCCCTGCGCTGCGCTGCCAGGCCCGTGCCGCCCCCGCACCACCTGCTGCAAGGTGAGATAGCTGGAGGAAACGTCACTTCTGTACCTTTATTATCCCGCCACAGGTAGCTGGAGACAACCAGCCTCTCTGTACCATTAGCCCTCCACGGGTAGCTGGAGAGAACCCACCTTCTGTATCACTAGCCCTCCACAGATAGCTGGAGACAACTCTTAGCCCTCCACAAGATATCTGGTGAAGTCCCGTCTGTCTGTACCATTACCTTTCTACAAGGTGGTAGGCGACGACCCGCCGTCTAGACCACTAGCCCTAGGAATCCGCGCGTGAAATATCGCTTGCTCTGGGGCATTGCTTTGTTAATAGAGGGTGCGATAACAAGCACCTATATACAATAGGAGTAACAGATATAACAGACAGCCCCCTATGCAGAAGATGCATGGAGGCAGAAGAAATGCCACAGCATGTCATCATGGAATGCAGCAGCGTGGCCGACCAACGGACACGCCAGTCACCAGAATCGTTTCCGGAAGCTTGCAGCAGTCTACCAAGCCTGCTTTCCTTCTGGACTAATATAGGCTGGCTGGAGTAAACGAGAATGTTTTGAGACACGCACAATAGTCCAATAATTAGGACTAAGTTAGGAAACCACCTTGAAAATCTAAACTAAGCGGGTGCGATACACCTGGCGCTGTACCACCTGCTGCTCGCCCCGCGCTGCGCCGCTAGGCCCGTGCCGTCCTCGCACCACCTGCTGCAAGGTGAGATATCTGGTTGAAACCCCACTTCTGTACCATTAGCCCGCCGCAGGTAGCTGCCGACAACCACCTATCTGTCTCAGTACCACAGGCGACAAATCCTCTTGCCCGCCGCCTGATCATACCTTTAGCCTTTCATAGGTAGCTGAAGACAACCTTCTACTTTACCATTAGTCATCTACACCACCTTCTACAAAGTAACTGGCGACAACCCACATATCCATACCATTAGCGGCGAGTGTAGCTGGAAACGACTCACCTTTCGTAACACTAGCTCTCCACACCACCTTCTACAAGATTACTAACGATAAACAACCTATCTGCTCCGCTAGCCCTCCCCAGGCAGCGTTATCAAAACCGCTGGAATACGCGTGGAAAGTAGCATCGCTAGTAGCAGGAGCGATATACCTTGCACTCTACCACCTGCTGCTCGTGCCGCCCCCGCACCACCTGCTGCAAGGTGAGATAGCTGGAGGAAACTCGCCTGCCTGTACCATAAACCCTCCACAGGTAGGTGGCGGAAACTCACCTTCTGTAACACTATTAGCCCACCACAGATAGCTGGAGGTAACCCACCTTCTGTTCCACTAGCCCTCCACCGGTAATTAACGTCAACCCGCCTGTCCCTTCCTCTAGCACCCCCACAGGTGACGCCTTCTACAAGGCCGCGCCAGCGTTAACCTCCCTGTCTGAACTAAGATTAAAGTTAACATATGTCGCAATAGAAACTTCGTGCTGTATATATCCAACGATATTATCGTAATGTGTATTCCTTCCATTTGTTTTTTGAAAATAAGGAGGGATTTTCAAAGTCAAGAGGGTCTCTAGCATGAGCACCGCAATATGCTCTCTCATTCGTTCGTTAGGCTTGTTTTTATCATGCTTAATTTGTATACTGTTGTACTATAAAGTTTGACATTGAGACTCAATAAAAATGGATTCGAATTTTGAACCTGTCGATTTGGGGTTAGCTTGGGGTTAGCCACATCATCAGGTTGCAAAAACAGCAGCAACGGTTAAAATTTTTATGGAGGGTAGTCAGATTTTGGCAGATTTTTTTTTTTTTGTTAATTCTGGCATGACTCTAAACCTAAACTTAAATTTGAGAACAGTGTATCTCTGTCATTTTCTATAGAGAATGAAAAGGAGAGACTGGTATTAAATTTAGTTTTAAGTTAAGAGAACCCTGTCAGTATCGACACCAGTAACTGCTTAACATTTTATTTCTATATAAGTATCGAATATAACCCATAGCCTATTTAGCTATGATAATAATGTAGCTTCTTCTGGCTTACATAATTATGTATTCCAAAAATTTTTTTTTTAATTTTATCGACGTACTTAAGGCGTTATATTTACTGCTACAGTAATCTGCTCCAGCTGCTTTGCAAAGATATTTTGCATATATTTACAAATCCCTATTAATTTATTGTATGTATGCAATATTAATTTAGGTCTGTTTCTTAAGCTTGCACAGTGGATGGTCAGCTTAATGGCAAAGGTATGTTAACGATTAGTTCGAGTCGGACGCGCAGCGTTCCGTCTTTGGTTCCGTATATTCGTACGGTTTAAGGTACTCTAAAAGGGTAACGTGGAACTGTGCTGCCATGCCATTTTAATCACTGGCGACCCGACCTCTATAAATTTTCCCGCCCCCATTTGATTTTGCCTTGTTATTATGATGGTCATGACATAACAAATGTTAATAGAAATGAATATGAAACATAAAATGAAGAGACGGTTTTCTGCTGGGTCAAGCGCATCCGGCGGAAAACAGTCTCGTTAAAAAACGCCCTTATTTCGTCACTTGTATGGAATACGTAAATCAGACCACGAAGATAAAAACATACATTTTAGATGTTTCTTTTAAAATATTTCGCTATTTTATTTAGACCTAGCTTGCCAGTCCAATACGCCTAATAAGTTATAAATTTCGTTCTGGTGAAGTTGCCGCTCTCCGCTTATTATTTTTTCACTCGCGGTCGCTTTTACAGATTTATATAATATGGGACACTAGTCTTTTCGATTTATTGTCATCGTGGGTCCTCTCACAATAAATGTATCTTCAACGTCGAGTAGACGTTGACGATACATCGAACGACATAATAAAACCCCATTGATTTCCCAACTAAAACAAGTGCTTATATTTTTTGAGTACGAATGAACATCAAATTACACGCATTCCGTGTCTGTTGCAGGGTGGGGACGGGGTCCATACAAAATCCCCCATGGTCCTTTCGCGAACCCATAATGTACTACTCATATCCGTTTTTTTATTATTTAACTCTTCGCTAATCAGCTTTATTATATACAATTATTCGTCAAACTACCCATCAGTTTGGACTGCCAACAGATGACTGATTTAATTATTAATTGCTTAGTGGCTCTTACGAGTAAATGTGCTTTGGCGCAATTCTGCAATGCGGTGCTCTGCCGCTCCGCGGTCCGTCGCGGCTGCTGTAGTACGCGCGAGCCTTAAAAGTATATATGCTTTGCACTATTATTTTGCACTCAATTATCTATAATTTCCTCTAATATTTCCGCAACCAATAAAAATCAGAGAGGCAAGGACAATTTATCACATTTATTTTCTTACGTATAATGCGATTCAATTAAGAATAGGAAACCTCTATCTGTCAAATGTCGCTTGAATAGTACGGTTTGAAAAAAAATATCTTGGAACCCTTTTTTAGCAATCCGCTAATTCAAGAATAAAAACAAAACATTTGTAAACAAACAATAACAAATATTGATAATTAATATCGGTTGATATTCTTTTTTCAGTTATTGACCTTTGGCCATGAATGGTTGATAACCTAAATCGTCAACCAAATGTCTCTTTAATTTGCGTTCAGAAACTCGATTTCAAACTTTCGTTTACATGTTCGTGTGTAACCTAGTAATAGTGCATGATTATTCATAACTACTCCGGCGGTAATGCAGAGATGAGCGGAATAGAAGAGCTAGATTCTGATTAATGTTTTTCACACAGTCTTAATAAATAAATATTATTAAAAATCGGTGTATTTTTTCTCAATCTTAGTAAATAAATGTTATTAAAAAAATCTGATGCTTTTTCTTAATTAATCTTAGTAAATAAGTTTTATTAAATAAAAACGTTTTTTTGCTCACTCTACCTATTTGGTTTGAATTGACAGCTATGACATCACAATATGGCGCCCAGTCGGTCCTATACTTAGTTGAATCGCATTATATCCTGTTTTCATTTAAGTATATTTTATGTTGAAAAGAACTTTTATGTACATTTATCATACGTATATGTATTTGACGACACTCAGGAATACTGATGATCTTATCTAATATTATGTCATTTGCAGGGCTGAATGCTAATGGCGGTTCTAACGGAACATATTCTCCGATGCGAGTGTACCACGAAGAACGTTCCCGAAAGGGACATTTTCGTTATTAAATTATAGGATTACTTTACATTTTATCTACAAATTATGATTAAAGATAGTGCCTAATTTATCTCTTTGTCACTAGTTTAAGTATTTAAGAACAGCATTGTGATAAAGTAAGTGCTTTTTTACTACTAATGTTTCAATAATGTATTTATGATCGTTCTGTAATGCCTCATTTGTTCGCATTTTTGTAAAATGTTATTTTCTATTAAATTGTGAATTTTTATAAGATGTTTCATTTCATCGTTATTCTACTCGTACCTACCTATGTCTTTTTTCTTGGACTTTCACAAGAGGTGCGTCGGTCCCTTTATACTTTAAGACTTTTCGTTCGTACACAAATCTTCAATACCTGACGACTTTGGTCTCTACAGTACCCCTAGTACGAACCAATATCGAATTCGTATCGTTTGCTAGTCCGAAATGTCATTGTCAAATGTGTACTGATTTTTAGTTCTCGTTACGTACTTTGTGCCGCTGCTGTTCAAGTTTCCATACAAAATTCTGATTTGATTTGATTTATTTGATAATGACGTTTCGTTACGTTACAGATTTGCCAAAATTCATGCTTGGACCTCTGGTTTTCTAGGATAGCGGTACTGTCATTTTGCGGCGAAACGAATACAGAGACCCAAGCACAAGGTATTGACAGCTTCATAAAGTATCGTAATTATTTTCAAATTTTGTATGGAAAAGGCTAGTTTGTTTTTACGTCCGACAGCGGAGTTGCTTAGTTTTCATAGAAGCTTCGACGTTGCGATACGTTACGGAGCTGTGAAAACTCGTGCTTGCACCTCAGATCTGGGGGCCATTCCTAACGGGATTGCTTTGGAAAACGCTATAGGCTTACGATTTCATTTTGTTATTTCTGACCGCTGAAGGTTTTCAAATACCTCACGCTCATTTTCTTTAATATTGTTATTACCAATGCAAAAGAAAAAAAAAAGGTAAATTTAAAAAATCAAAAAACCCGACTGCTTTATTATACTTCAAATAAAAACTGAAAAGAAAAAAACAAGTCCCGTAGTCTATAATTCTGTTAATAAGGAACAAAGCTACTTTAACAGTCGGGACCCATTAGATATTCAAGAATACATAATATTTTTCAACAGTGGGTCCCGACCGTTAAAGTAGCTTTGTTCCTTATTAACAGAATTATAGACTACTGGACTTGTTTTTTTCTTTTCAGTTTTTATTTAAAGTATAATAAAGCAGTCGGGTTTTTTGATTTTTTAAATTTACCTTTTTTATTTCACACTTTTTAGTCAGTTAGTATTTTAAGACGGTATATACCGTAGTCTTGTTACTTCAGTAAGGGAATTAATATCGCGGGAATTATTAAGTACCTTGCGTCGGTCTAAAAGATTGATTTATTAAGACATATAGAGACTTTACCAGCGGGGTCAAGGCTACAGATGGGCCTCAATTTTCGCAAAAATGTGTGAAGTTAAATCAAGTCGTTACATAAATATCTCTAATGTATGTAAATTTTATAGTAAACTAGCTGACCCAGCGAACTTCGTACCGCCATAAAAAAAATTAATTAAAAAAACATTGTCCAGCGGACAAAATTGTGAATCTAAACCATTCTCAGATCCCCTTGAACACACACAAAAAATTTCATCAAAATCGGTCCTGTCGTTTAAAAGAAGTTCAGTGACATACACACTCACAGAAGAATTATATATATAAAGACTAGCACTTACTCAAAAAGTCATCTTTTGTTTATGTATTTTTTAATAGTTTAGCAGTAAATATAAAATTCATTTACCTTTATTCGTCGACTATTTAAAATTGGCAGTGGCTGCATTCTCATGTCAATGCCGGACGTCTAAGATTGTGATATACACAAATGCAGTGTCAGTCCCTAGTCTTATAATTTGATATACCTACATAATTCACAGAAATCCAATATGTAGATGCCAGAAGTTAACTTCAAATGTTTTTAATCACCCTATATACAATACCAATCAATGACGTTTATGTCGCAGGTTGAAGAAAGCAGTAATTCCCGTTTGTTGTTTTGGACAATGGTGGCAACTGCCTTAGATCACTAAATTAAATAATTATGCAATCACCGAAGCAAAGTTTATAATATTTGATTAAACTAAAGGCGCATAATAAAATTTTCTTAACGTTAGGTAGAACACCATAGCAATCTCATTTATTATCAATTTATAGTTCTCTTTGTAGTTTTCTTTTAAAGCGTTCACATATAACAGGTCAAAGACTTTGTGATCGACTCTTTTTATTGGTAGTGTAAAGCTCGAATGAAGAGTACTCCCAGTAGTGCAATCATGGCAATTATTTTCCAAATTCTTTTTTGTTTAAAAAAATACCGAAAAACCTATCACTGTTAAGCACAAATGCTAAGTAACTTTTACAAATATAATCAAATAAACCTATTACTTACTTTATTTTTAAATCTTTTTCATCAATTAAATACTTATCTTATCCTAACTATCTATACTAATATTATAAAGAGGCAAGATTTGTATGTTTGTAACAAATAATCTGTCAAACTACTGAACCGGTTTCAAATATTAATTCATCATAAGGTAGCTTCATTATTTATTATTACATTTTTCTTTATTTAAATATGTATTTAATGTATTTACATTTATACATTTTGTCCGAGTGACATAGGCTATATTTTATCCCGATAAATAAATTTCGCCCGTACAATGCCTGGGTGGATCACTAGTAAGTATAATATAATATTATAGATGCGAAATTGAGTTTGTTTGTTGTGCTTCCATGCCCTAATAGCTAAGTCGAATATAATGAATTCCCATATAGAAGTAGATGGGAACTTCGTTCTTAGCTACAACATCGCAATACTTATAGGCGTAGGGTGATGAAAGGGGTTATTTACCTATAAAAATCTACATTATTTACTTTGAATTTTACAGAATTATTAAAAAACCAATATTAATACTAGCAAAAAATGGGTTATTTGTCATTACATTAAGTAAACCTTTTTTGTAACATTAAGTAATATCGTTAAAAAAATGAAAAACAGTAAAATTCTGAGTTTTTCATCGAAATTCAATAATCATAAATACCTATTATCTCTTATCTATTAGACAAGTCCGTCCGTCCGTCCGTGGTGCTGTTTCAGCGGCCAAACTGTAAGAGATAGATAAAGAGAATGTTTAAGTTATAAGTTGAGAATAGTCTGATAAGACTACAAACCGGATGTGAGTTTGAGTAACGTAGCACTTCCGGTTTTCGAGAAATCACGTGATTTCTATTTCAAACGAAACCACACAAAATCTCGGAAGTTCTCAATTAATTAAATACATTTTTTTTTTGGTGAACATTTGTGGTGGTTCACTGGTTTGCTAGTGATAATATAATTTTCATCATTTAATAAGAAGGAACTGTATCACAGTTTTATTGTTAGTACTTCGTATAGGATCAGATACTGCGAATAGCCCATTTTTTTTTCTTTTACATAGTACCTACACCGCGCTATCACTTATTCATCGTTGTAACTTTTTAAATATTTGTCGAAATGACAGTGTAAAAAGCAAAGTTTATCGTCTTTAAATATCAAAAGCGATAAAAGTATTTGTTTGGATAAAAAATGATTTGTTAATACAAAATGTGCATTTTGGAAATAGATATCAAATAATATTTTAGTTTTGATTCACTATTTAAGCGGTAATGACTTACACATTAAAAATAGATATATGGTGTCACGGACTTTTTTTTAGAACTATTTAAGAGATACATTTTCACTCTACATTACATTCATGTAACTTTTATTGTTTTTGCAGTGCAGGCCAAAATGGCTCGCAGATGGGAGATTTTTTTCCGTCTTATGTGACACTTATTGTCATATATTGGTAATCATCATATATGAGCTATATTACTGTTAAGTTTCATTAAAATTTATTCGGTATTTTTAGGTGAAAGAGTAACAAAGATCCATACAAACGTAAGATTGAAATTAAAAGCGTAAGTGGTTAATATACAACTTTAAAGCGTTGTAGATCCTAAACAATCATATAAAATGAAAAATAGTGTTAGGAACCTAAATATGATTTTTGATTATATAGACAGTGATAGCCCACTCGACATATTTTGTCAACTTATTTTTTTTACTTCGTCACAATATGGCGCCTAATATTGCCCATATTGAATTTTGATTACTATCATATCCTTAGTAGCACTCCCATGATTGAGACGAATCGATTGATGTATGAATCATCAAAATCGGTCCAGGCGTTTGGTCTCTAGTGTGCCACAAAGGAACAAACATACATATATAGACTGTTAAACACATAACCCTGTCTGCGCGTCGCGCTTCGCGCTCTTGCATTGCGCAGCCGGGTAAAAAAGAGCGCGAGGCATTTGAAAACCTCAGGCGGCTAGAAATAACAAAATGAAATCGTAAGCGATAGCGTTTTTCAAAGCAATCCCGTTAGGCGAATGGCCCCCTGTTCGTGCTTGGGGTATCGAAGAGGGGTCCTCCTCATTTTCATGACTAATTTTAAGGAGTTCTGACCAAAATTTAATTCTTTTTATCGTTAAAAGATGTTTTAAAAAATATTTTTTTTACTTTATTTTGTTAATTCAAATTACTAATGAAAATTTTTTGTACGCAACAGAAATTGCGATTTGTTTTCTTCATATAAAAATACTTGATTGAAACATACTTTTTCTCTGATCGTCTGGTTATCGGTGAAGGACGACTCTCTTTCGTACCCTTAGCACGAATCATTATCGATTTCGAATAGTTTGAGAGCCCGAAATGTCATTGTCAAATTTTGTATGGAAACTTGAACAGCAGCGATCTAAAAATCAATACACATTTGACAATGTCATTTTGTACTCGCAAACGTTACAAATTCGATATTCGAATTTGGTTCGCGCTAAGGGTACAGGAGCTCTACTCTCTTTCTCCGAAACGAAACGGTAACGAACGAATTTCAAACGAAATTTCGCCAGTGTCTCTACTCTATTTCATTTTCGAACAGGCACATTAACTTCGGAACCATAAACAGTTTTCGTGAACGAATGGAATGAGTCATGTTTGTGAGTTCTTTTTGTCTCTACTTTTAAGAAAACGTTTTTTTTACTTGGAAGCAATATAGGTAGTTTACGGCAAATTTTTTGATGACATTAAAAGAACCTTCTTTGACAGTGTTAGCCGACTAATTTGTAAAGTCGATACAATCTACTGTATGTCAACCTCAATTTGTCGTTTAATACTTTGAAGTATCGAAATTACAAAAAATAATAAAAAAATGGTTTATTTGTTAATTTTACATGCTAAAAATGTTACTCGAGCTAAGCAGCTATTATTAAAAATACTCTTGCAAGTATTTTAGGCTCATTAAAACAAAAATCTCAAAACGAAAATGAAAAGGTAACACTTTTCATTTCGTCGATTTGAGGTTAAAACTTCGAACAATTATCTGTCAAATTCAACTTTTCCTTCGAAAGTTTTGTGAATTAGCGTAGGCTTGGAGAATTTAATTGTCAAAATATTTCGGACGAACGCATTTTCGAAATGAAAAGGAAACAGAGTAGGGAACGTGCGAAATTTCGATCGAAATTTCGTTTTTCGTTGAAATAGAGTAGGCCTCCTGATCGTGTACTATTAGTGCATTTAAAAATCTAACAGGGCAATATCGGATTGGAGTAAAAACACATTTTCAATTAATACAATAGTTTTGTATTTTAAATCTATTTTTTTTCGTCTTGTTACATCACTCATCAAAGTTCAAAATATACGCGCAACTACTTTAATAATATAGCACGAAATAATAACAAATAAAAATGAGCTATATAGATAAAATAGGCGCGGGCCAAACCCTAATATTTACATAGGATATTTTTTATATTGAAGCTTACAGATAGCCTTTACATTTACATTATGACCGCTGTACTTATATTAGCAATATGTATGAACTGTAGATACTAAACTTGAACAAAATAACTAATACATAAACATAAAAAGCAATACACAAGTAAATTATCTGATTCGATGGTTATATGTTACTCCCAGTTATGAGCAAGCGAATAATTATATTCGTTTTATAACAAAAACTAAAGAAATGGATAAACAATGAAATAGACAAAAACCAAGAGAACAAAACTTACTATATCAATAAAGAGGGTTATTTTATTTTTTATGATCCTGTGAAAGCTCGTTAGACACTGAGATTCGAAATCTAAAAGATGATATAATCTAAATATTAATAAAATTGTATGCAACGTAATATGGTAATACATGAAATTTCAAGGTTCAAGACTATTCAGACACAGCAGTACCTATTTACTTACAAGAACAAATCAGTGTCTCAATTTTAGCATGCCGTTAAAAGAGATGCGAGGTTTTTTTACCAAATAAGGCAGCGCTACAAAAAAAAGGATCCGTCAAAGTAATTTGTAACATAAATAAACAAAATCAACAATCGTTTTAACTAATTTATAAGTTAAATTTTCACAATTCTTTAAACATCACAATATAGGTAGTTCAATATAAACATCAAAAGAATGTCTCCAAAGAAAAGGTTATTCTAATTACGTCAAAAAATAATAATGGCAATATGTAAAAGGAAACTAAGCAACGTGACTTAGATAACGGTCGACCGGCCTATTGGAGTCGTTCATGCACGGTATATTAAATGAAAGTTGTGACCTACCGAATGGCATCCCCAATTTCATTTCTATAATAGAATATTTTTTCATGGAATGTACCGTTTTTGAAGTGGCATCATAAATAAACTAGGTCATCCTAGGAAGGCGAATCGTCTTCTTCGTCATTGCATATTAATGAACAAAAAAAAACGATTTTATGCATTAAGAATTTATGTTTCTGTAGTTTTCTTGTATGAAATTAAAATAAAACGTATTTAGCATAGCATATTAATTATTCGTTAGTAGATGCAGATGGACTGCCCTAGAGTTTATCTGCTGTACCAGCAAGGTCAAAACAGTGTATTAACTTCTATTACTCCGAAAAGGTGGTTTTAATGCCAAATTGTATCCACTTAGATCCCCTTGACTATACTACAATGAGTTTTCTATAATTATCCCTACATAACAAAGGCCTATGTTGAAACATAACAATCCTTAGGTATTCCATCGATTTGACATGGAATCAAAATCATTTTTGATCATAAGAAACCTCAAGCACAGGACAAATTGAAAGCGAAGGTAAAAACGAATATCGTTTATGTATATATACATTTTCTTTTATGTCATATGAACAGGTAAGAGGGAAATTTATCCCTGCATTAGAACATATATAGCTTTAATCCTCTGGATGCAAATATATCGCACCTAGCATATTACAATGTAAATAATGGACGACACTCGTGGTTCAATTATAGTCTTCAAAAAAAAATTCGCGATCACAGAAGGGTATAAAAATACAGAGCTTATTTTAATAAAAAATTAAATTTTATTTTATACATTTGCATATTACCGCTTTTCACTCAAGATTACATATTTAATACGGGATTAAAAGAGATTGAAGAACATACTTTTCCCGTTAGCTCGTCAGGCTCGCTCAGCCAGATTCCATTCATGCCTTCTACAACAGCTAAGTTACACCTCCGTGTCCGAATCGTGGTTATATGACGCTATTGAAACGATTGTAAAAAAAGAATAAAAAAGGAACTTCCATCGGCAAGACGGTTTCATTACATGAGTAAAGAAGCACAGAGAAAGAGCTTCATACAATAGGCTATTTGACAGTACGCACAATATTTGAATATCTATTAAAACTTAAAGCGCAAAATAAAGTACCAATTTTGGCATGTGTATTTTTAACATATTGGAAGCGATTTCACTATTCTGACAAAAGGTGTAGCCTAAAATAACGTCACCTGTTTGTAAACGTTCGACTGGTTCGACGTTCGTTACGACGATGACGAATGACATTACTTTTCAACTGTTTGACGTTTTAATGAGAGCCGTGTGACATCACCTGCCTGTAAATACGCCATATTTGCTAGAGAAACGTTTACGCAGCATATTTGTTTTTTTCGTATTTTTACTGATATAAACAACTAATTATAAATATCCACTTTTTGTGAAGCCACTATACAGTAAAAAAGAACATATAAACATTTTCAAAATCTTGTCAAACCGCCTATCGCAATGGGTAAACTCCGTAATTCCGAAGTGTGTAATTTTTCTGGTACTTCATTAAAAAAACCTTAATACCGGCACTTAACTTGGTGTTTGCTATTTTTCATTTTGACAAAATTAGCAAATTAGAAAACCCGTGTGAAGTGCCACCATAAGGTAAAAAACCAATATCGGATACAGAAGCGTAACATATTAATCAATAGTCATTAAGTTTACTGTAAAGGAGTTTTTATTAGCAAAAGTTATATCAAATCTGATATTGAAAATATAACTATGTTTATGATGAAATTAAGTAATAGCTGTTTTTTTCTTAATAAACTTAATAGTGGCGTTTTATAATTAAAAAAAAGTTTCACTTTTATTTCTATACCTTAAAATTAACACTATTCTAGTGTACATTTGTTTTTATTTACTATGCAGCTAACTGCAGACATAACTGTTCACTCTAGTGGATGAGTCTGCTGTCAAATTTTAAATTACAATGGTATTGTGAATATCCCAGTCAAAATAGTTTTTATATAATATTGTATGAGACTTTTCAATTCTATAATATTAATTTCAAACTTAATTTGATATAACTAGTCTAATTACTGCATAAAAAAAACCCTCATTATAAATTTTATACACATTATACTACATCCATTGCCTTATCGTTAAGAATGTTGTCAATTTCATCTACATTATCATCTTTAAGCAGATTTTCAATCATTTCCTCACTTAAATCAGCTTCTGGTAATTTTTCTTCCTCCTTTAATATATTGTTAATCATACTCTCATTCATTTCCTGGATTTTTTCACCATTTTCTGTAGTACACTCATCATCAGGTTTAATTTTTTCAGGTTTCTCTGATTTTTCCTCAGACGATATGTTATTACTAATTTCATCATTAGAACTTTGCTGTTTCACACTATCCTCTGTTTGTTCTGTCATGCTGACGTCCTCTACGCTGTCTTCCTTTTCTTTATCTGTAGCATCCACATTTTCTTTTTTGACATCCTCTACGCAGTCTTCCTTTTCTTTATCTACAGCATCCAAATCTTCTTTATCAACAATTTCACTGACTTCAGTCTTTAACATGTCATCATTTGTCTCTGATGACTCTTGCATTTGGCGACTCTTTCCTGAATTATTGTTTTCTATCGGACTATTAGGTTTATCATTATCCATTATTTCTTTTCCATTATTTTCATCTTTAGCATCAGCGCCATTTTCTATTTCTTTTTGTGCATTATCGATTGAAGCAGAATAGCTATCGTTCTCATCATTATGAACTTCCTCAGAAATAACTTCTTTTTCATTGAGCAAGCCACTTTCTTCTTTATGTGCATTATTCATATCACTATCATCTTTATTTTCTACACTATCATTGTGATCACTACTACCAACACCTGTCAGATCTACTTCTTGGTTTTCATTATTAGTTTCATTGACAGTCGATTCCATGGAATTTTCATCTATGAAAATAGGGTCATCATTCAAGTCTGGCAATATTTCAACATCGTCATCATCATCGCTCACGTCATGACCAGATTTTTTAATTACATATTGTTTTAATTCCTTATTCAGATTATCACGGATTTCGTTAAACCTAAAAGATGAAGTATTCAAAACCCTCTCCAATGTTCTATGAAGATTTCTCATTTCATCAAGAGATCTTTGTCGTAAATACGATGTAGTAGCTTGTTTTTTTAGTTTTTCCAATCTTGCCAATGAATATTCTAGAGAATCCATTGCTTCTAATAAATTAAATCTATACCATTCTACTGACACATGCATATCAGAATCTTTTGATGAAGAACTGGAAGTTTTTGATACATTTGTAGGTTTTTTTAATATATTTGCCCTTGAACTTGACGATCGATGGTTGCTATTAGATGCAACTGGTTTTGCTTTTGGTGTTGATGACGGAACTGCGCTTAATTTTGCAGCATATGTAGCACCTTTTGGTGCAACGGGTTTTCCAGATGTTTCTGTTACTGCCACAATTGTTGCAGAATATCCACCAGGCATATTAGGGTTTGCATTAATAGCGAAAATTCGCCCATCAGGTAAACGGTACATTTTATTAGACGATAGTGTTTGAGGGTCAACACGAAATTTCAAACCTCCAGTAAGTGTGTTCACAGACACATCATCGCTAGTCATTTGTATTATATTGTCAGATGATACATCAGGCAAATTATTCGCCACGCGTGTAATAAAAGCTGAAGAATTTGTTACATTCTGTTGATTTTGCTGCGGTTGTGAAGACTTAACAGCAGGGGCAGGAGTTATACATTGGACATCATCATCAGTGTTGTCTTCAGTAACCTGTTAACATCACAACCATTATTAATCACAGTCATAGGTAATTTAAAAATGCATTTATTTATTTTCTATTCCATGTTACCTCGCAAAGTGGCTCTAGGGGAAAATCAGGAGTACAAACAACATCATCATCTTGATTAATTCTGTTATTCGACATTGCCGCTACAGCTGACATATCTAAACCCTAAAAATTATAAGGTGGTATTAATAGAGTCAATGAATGAAAAGAGAGTAAAGAAATTTTTTAATTCATATTTTACTTGCTGGTTTTACAAGTTTTCTATTTTTCTATATAAAATAAATGGAAAGAACAATATGGAAAGAAAGAATGGGTACAAGGGTCTTGTAGCATTAAGAACCGAAAATCCGATTTTAAAAAATAATGATCACTTTTGGATGACCTAGTAGCGAAAATTCTACTAAATAAGGTAAGCATCATCTTGGTACAAAATGTTTCAAAAAGAAACATAAATTTATAATTTGATAAGCATCCTCAAGACTAAGGTCCACCATAAGATAAAAAAACTAGATTTTCTACCAAAATTATTCAAAAACAATGATATTGGGCATGATTCTGGCATTTTTCCTTAAATTAAAATTAATAAATGTTTATTTCGAGATAGAGAAAGCTTTGGAAAAATACAAACCTGTGTCAAACTTTCCAAAGAAAGATTAATGTTATCATTAATAACCATAGGGTTAAATGAATTATTGTGAAAAGTGTTACTGTTAGGAAATCCATTGAACGGGGCTTGCATTATTGGCATAACAGGTGGCCTTGGCCGTATACGGGAATATGTACTCTGTGCTAAATATGAGTTTTTTCTGTTATCTTGATTCATTCTTGGACTTGTCATCACCGGCATCTAAAATATGGATAATCAGTTTAATATATTACTCAAGGATACAAATTAATAATAAAAAGAACAAAAAATATAAATTGTTAGCATCTGTGTTTAGAATGAATATTGGCAGGGCTTTTATCTATACAAAAAAAATTTTCATAATTTTACTAAAAACCCACGAAAAAGATAATAGTTTTCTTATCTATTGTCACGTGACCCAAAACGCTTGGGATTATCGGAGCCTAAAATGACGTCACACGCAAGTAAACTTCCGGTTAAAGTGACATTAAATTGTATCGTTTGACGTTTTAATAACAGTCGTGTGACGTCACACACTGGTAAGACGCCATATTGTCCAGAAAAACGTTTTCGCGGCAACTTGAAAATGGAGTTTTTGATTTGGTTATTTTTACTGAAATACACAACAGAATGATGAATATCCACTTTTTACGGACTCCATAAACATTAGTCAATAACGTGAGGTCGTTTTCTAAAACTTGTCAAATACCCTATTATTATAGCTATTAACGGGATTGTTACCATGTACCTTGTTTTTATAAGTCTCCGATATTACGGCACTGTTGCAAGCGCCATGATCGCGGAGTAACTGAGTGCCGAAATATCGGAGACTCATAAAAAACAAGGTACATGGTAAAGATCCCGTTAATAGCTATAATGTTAGTGACCATGAAAGTTTAAAACAATATATAGATAATTAATTCTTGGTCAACCATTTTGACGACTGGGTTTTGCGTTTTACCTACAATTACAAATTCTACGCGAGTTGCGGTCCCGCAGATGCGGCGGGCGCGGGTCAAAATCGCGCCATGAATTCTAAGAATTCATTGCGCAAGTGAAACTTTTATTACAGAACCACAAATTTTTTCGCACATATTTATCATGTCGCATAACATTTTTTTTTATATAGCCAGGTAGGCAAAAGACTGTACCCCACCTTATGTTAAGTAGTCATAAAGTCCAGACTCGAAGATAGCTGGTACAGTAGTTATAAACTGCCACACCACTCATCATTTTTAATTGTTATTAAAAAATTCGGACCTTATTTACAAGCATCGGTGGTTCAGTGGTAGAAAGCTCGTCTGCCACCTGGGCAGCCTGGGTTTGATCCCATCCGAGGAAGGACTTTTTTTTTATTTTCCACTTATTATAAGCTGATATTACATCAACTTTGAATAATTTTTCGAAAAAAATCATTCAAAGCTTATGAACCGCCAAAAATTTTAAGGAGATGTAGATAGATATTGTTTATTGCATCCTGTCCCTGTAGCATGAGCACCACAATTCACATTGTATCACGTTTTTTATCGTGCCTAACTGTCAAACTCCATAGTAACTTGATATTTGAGCGTGATAAATACGTTTCATTTAACATATCATGGTGCTCATGCTACTGGCTTTTAACTGTTAAGATCTCTTAAGGCTGTAGTACTTAAGAGATCTTAACAATTAATAGTAAATGGAACCAAAAACACTAAGTTTCACTTGCATCGTGGTTTCGTAAAACCACACCAATTTTTATTCTACCGGCGAGTACAGGGTATTGCTCTAAGTAGTGCATTTCCATTACAATATTTTAACAGTTTAGAAAAAGCTCACAGAAACAGATCATTTGTGTCACGTTTCTTACGCAAATGCTCGACATTTTACCAGGGGATGTTGATTAGCTCGTTATAAATAATTGGATCATGATTGTTTTCAGACTTAATGCTCTTAATAATTCAGAATTAACATCTCACCCTTATTTTTTTCAATGCAGGCATTAAAATTGGCTGAATCATATTTTGACCCTGGGCTATAGCTACAGGGTTTTTCATCAACACAGGTTTACTTTTGATTGGACTAGCTGGTCTCTTCTGCGCCTTTTTTTCTTTAGAAGCATCATCAATATTAATAGATGCAAATTTTTTCACCTGTAGGTAAAGGGAAAACATTCATGAATTATAATATTATGAGTTGAAATTATCATTTAGATATTCTTTCGAGACATGAATGCAAAACCATTGTCATAAAAAGGCCCTAGATACTTTTGATTTTGCAGGCGTTCATAGGCCACGGCAAGGGCCGATACATACCGGAATGGCAATGGCCGGAGAGCGTTCGCTGCCTTAAATTCCTGCCTCTCGCAGCACTGCCAGTACAATATCGATCGCGCGGGTGAACAGTCGTTAATACATATTGAATTGTTTTTGTTGATAATATACAGGATTAATTTTAAAATAGCGGTAACCTCGCAGTGCAAGATAGCTATCATCATACATAACAACATTTGTTCTACGAGTTTGGAAAATTCGTTACATTTTATTTTCATACAAAAATAAATATTTAAGTTAATTTACCGCCCGAATGTTGACAATAGATTTGTTTGAAGAACATTTTAAAAATAAAGCCGCGACAAAATCAACTGACCACTTCTCCGCAGAGACGGTAAACAGTGCATTGTGAGGCTGCATTGTGCGTTACGATCAAGAGACCAAAGCTTTAGATAGCAGACGCCCTAACATAAAAACGTAGTGCTTGTTTGCCTTCTACAGTTCTAAAACTGTACTCCAAAATAGAGTATGTACTCTATATCTAGTTGTCTATATAAGTTTGTAATCTTTATTTACCACCTATGAAATCAGATAATATGTACTGTATTCCTTCTAATAAAAGTTGCCAACCCTAACTCACACACCTGCCGCAATAGATGTTTCACATCAAAAATGATATGCTGCTTATTAATATTTTTAGAAATTATATAGTTTCAGTAGACTTTTGCCGAAATGATAATAGTTTTTTTTACTTGTTAGCATTTTCTGTTTATGATGGTATAACAAAATGTGCAGATACATGTAGATCATCATTTTTCTAGATTTTTCCAGAATTTGCCAAGCAAAAATGTGGGCAAGGCCTTAATAAATAATTAAATAAATTAACTTCACCTGTATTGTTGCAGGGATTCGAGCAATCGCTGTATTTGCTACTTTTTTAGCCAAGTCAGCATTATCTTTCTTGGCACTCTTAGGCTCAGATTTCTCTTTACGTTTTGTTTTATGTTTGCAACACTCTGAGTGATCAATCGCACAATCTTTTTGATATGCTTCCTTTAACTTAGGATCTTCAGTTTTGTGTGCTATTCTGTAAATAAAAAAAATAATAAAAGATTTATTAATACAATTTTACATTCATGCATATCATTCAAGTCATTAAATAAGAAACCTGCTCACTTATTTTTGAAGTCACAATATCTTAGTAAAGCCCAACATAATGCACGAAGATCCCATAAACACCTTGGATTACATTTAAAACATTTCCAATCATCTGCATTCTCAATTTCTTTTATTTTAGGTTGTCCGAAATTGCGTTTAACACATTTCTGTAAACAACAGTAATAAGTTTGAATAAAAATGCAGTTAATATTCAACTGTACAACAATGTCATTGGTTGGTTAACTTGGTTAAGGCAAATTAAAATATATCAGTTTAATTATAAAGGTTTTTAAAAGTATTTAACGCAAAAGGAATTTATGAGATTTTTAGGGTAGTGTTTAAGCTGGCCTGTGACCTTTAAAGTCACATTATAAAGGTCACAGCTTACCAGAGCCACCGCCTCGTCGCGCGGAACAGCGCGTTTTAAACAGCGGCAAGCGTGCGAGCAACGAGTGGTCATCGATTTGTCCAGCGCATTTCAGCGATCCGACCGGTGACGGTATTGAGTTGATATAGTGAGCCCATTATATGCATAGTAATACAAAGAATATCAACCACAAGAGTAGATGCGCTATTGGTCGGGTGCTGGATGAGTCTAATGAGCTGTGACCTTAAAAATCATAGCTCATAAGACCCACCATTAGGTGGACAACTCGGTGAAGCGACCCTTTACGCACGCTTGCCGTGTGCTGACCGCTGGTTGTAAACGCGCGGCTCCCGAATGGACTGCGCGTTGGCTGAGAGTTTACCCAATTTTAGGGGACCCTTACCCTGACTAAGGGCGGTCTAATATGAGTTACGGAGTAAGGGACCCGATCTCCCTTACGCCCTGACGATCGGGTAGTAATAGTTGTTAGGCAGTGAGGCAGCTCAGTCGATGCTCTGAGAGCGTATAGTACAGACGTCTTTGTAGTTGAATTAGTTTATTGCCGCGATGGCATCTAATGAAAAGAAAGAAGTGTTACTCAATTTTAATTCACAAGTAGATTTATGATTTTTGTGGCAAAAAGAAATCAAAATATTTAAATATGTACGTATTTAATTAATCGGCAAACAATAGTAATTAAGGCTCAAAAAATACAATTTGTAACCTAATCTAACCTTTAGGTTACCAAGAGGATACGGAACGATTTTAGTTGGGAATGCAGATTTATAGAGTTAAGAATTCCATTAAATATAGTGGTTAAATTTTTGTCCTTCGACAAATATTGACGAAGTTAATCAAATTACTAAACGAATTTTCGGCTGGTCGCATTGTGACTGATGTCACAGAGCTCTAGCGCTCGAGCGTACGTGGAGAGGCTTCTAAAGTTCGACCGGAGTGAATCACGATCGAGCTCTGTGACGTCACACGTTTTGGCCGCTGGTGAATATTGGCTACCATAAAATTAGTTATAACATCGCAACGAATGAACCGATTTTGATGATTTAAAAAGTATATTAATTTAAAAGATTATTAGATCATTATACTGTTGATTATGAGTTGATTTGCTGAGCTAGTAATGATCCTCATTGTATATGTGATAATGAAAAAAAATTGATGATCATTTACATATTTCGCTATAAATAAAGACAAATGTGCCGAATGATTTAGAGAATTTAACCCGCATGCATCTAGTGCCATAACAACGACATTCAACCGAGAGGATTTTTCCATGAGGACCAGGCAGCAGACGGTACTTGAACCCGCACCCACAGTTTAAAAATAATGATTACATGTTGATGAATAATTTGAAATTAGTATAATTCTGTTTTGATTTTGAATAACAACTTATAATAATGAGTAGAAACAATAATCTCTTTTGAAGTCTTTTTAAAATTAGGTAAGTATCCATCCTATCAAACTGTATATTCTTATACAAGTTGACTGGGGGTAAATTCATTCCACCTTAATCCAAAACGCAGACTAAAGTTAAAACCTAATGTTATACTCAAGAAGTTCGCTGCCACCTATAATACTCATAAATTTATGTCCAGTATGTATGCACAAGTTTATAATTTTTAGAACATATGATTTAACTACTTTGTGAAATATTTGTATTTTTGATGTAATGGATTTATAGGTTTTTAGGGTTATTAATATGTGCACAAAACCCTTATGAAGAAGATAGGTAGATGATAATATCTTAAATTATCAAAAAATGCATTTTAGTGTTATCACAAAAGAAAATAAAAAAAATGTTCCTAAATTTTAGGGGGTTGGTATTTTTTTAAGTTAAAATTATTAGGGGATTTTAAATCAACCCCCTAAAAATATCTTAATTTTCTTTCACAAACAAACATTTCACACATTTCTACAAATATTTCACAAAGTAGTCAAATCATATTTTCTTAAAATTATGAACTTGTACATACATATTGGACATAAGTTTGTGAGTATTAAAGGTGGCAGGAATATTCTTGAGTAAAATCACAAACAAATAAACTTGTGCAGTGGATTTTGTATGTAAATTTGCTATTGTGCAGGCCTACTTGTCTGTCATATATCAATACTCAAAAATTTTGGCAGGGTGTATACAAGAGTTACAATTAGAAAAACACTTACAGCACAAAACACATGAGGACAATCTGAACAGCAATATACTTGTCCTCCTTGTCCACACCAGCGACAGTATAATTCTGAACCATCATCACCTTTCTCAAATTCACCACTGTTATAAAATGTGTGACATGTATGACACACCAGTGTGCGCAGCATAGGATGAACACGCATACGAGTTTCATTGCGGGTTGACGATCCTAAATGTCGATCACATGCAGTGCAGTGCAACTTCATGTAATTAACGAAATTTAAATCTGAAAACATTTGCACCGTTACTATATTAAGTACTTTTATGTAAATGTTAAGAATATTGTAGTTTCACCACCTGAAAACTTCTGCTTGTAATAAATCCTCTCATCATCGCTAATATCATCTTCGAATTCCTCCTCAGTAGGTTCTGCAACAGTTAGCAATAAAATGAAAAATAAAAGCAAATAATAATTTGACAAGTTAATGAAGATTCGGTACGGTAAATTATAACAAATTAAGCAATAGGTCATACCTGGGAAAGGCGGGAATTTGACATCATTTACTAGGACCGGCTTCTCAATTTCCGCAGAAGTGCCTTGATTGTTGACAACCTCACTCATTATTAAAACGCGTTTTAATAACACTCTTTATGAATAACAACATTTAACATTATACGCAGTTGAATACACAACAAATTCTTTTGTATTAGACGAATGAATACCTGGAAACTATAAATTAACCATTTACACTTGGCACAAAGCCGATTTCAGCCATTTTGGCATTTTTAGAGAAAGAGACAAATGGGACTAATAAGGAAGCAAAGAGAAGTATCGATAAATAAACTATCGACAGTCAGTCGCATGGTAACTTCTAGATTTTGTTTATCATGCTGCTATGCTAAAGAACTTTACGTACTTTCCATCCTCCTGTATCCTGCGTGCTAGACAGCTATACACGTAAAAGAGATCATGTATTTATTGAACGTGTAAAAAAGATAAAACATGTAAACATTTTTTAGATTAAAGTAAATTATTGCAACTCGTATTTTTTTTTACTAAAAGCGTGGCAAACTGTCTTATGTCCTGCCTGATGGTAGAGACTACCATAGCCTATAGACGCTTGCGATACAAAAAATATCACGCACACCATTGCCTACCCTGACCCAATTATACCCCGTGGAGCCCTGAAACCTTATTCACTGACAGAAACATACGGTATATGAATTGACCGATAGAATAATAAAATGCAGTGCTAACTTGCTATTAAAAATATTTTGCCCTGATCCACTGACTTAAGCTAACTTTAACGATGAATTTAGTAACAATGTTAGGAATTCCTGCATCTTCAGTAATTATACACAAACATTGGTATCGATTCCGGCATAATTTAAATTTGACAACAGTGTATCCTTGTCATTCTACATGCAGAATGAAAAGGAGAGACTGATCTTAAATTCAGTTTTCAGTTTAGAGAATCACGCCAGAATCGACATCATTATTGCATTTTAAAGTAGCAAAAGTCTCTTTTTGTGACCATTGATGAATAGGAATGATACGAAAATGAATGGGGAAAACTAAAGTAGGCAGGTGCTAAAAATTATTATGATCCAAACATCTATTTCTGCTATTTATGTACTACAGCTACAAAAATATCTTAGATTTTACTGCACTTATTTCTATATTATCGATATAATCTAAAACCCGTTCAATATTGAGAATATTTTCCAAGGTCAGCTATATAAACTCAAATTGACGATAATCCTACAACACTGCTTCTGTCTGTCTGCCTCTTAATCTTCAAGTTTTCCTTTTGGAAATACAAAGGATACTCAGTCCATACTGCCACGTTTTTACTATTATTATCGACTTGAGTGAAATTTTCGGGGGGCCCTTAAAACCTCAGATAAATAACAATGTTTTTCTAGTTTTTGAACTTTATTACTAACCGACTTTCGACTTGATCTGAATTTTTATCATTTATTCGGTGAGGTAGGACTTATAGTAAGGCCACAGTAGGTTAGGAACGAACACGTAGAAAGACAAATACTGCACTCTGTTTTATATAAATATTATTAATTAAAGTTGTTATCATGTTATGAAAAAAATAATGGAAAAAATAAAAAACCATTTATGTTAAAAAATATCTATAGTTTATAATCAAAGTCTATCAATCAGTTCAGTTTGAAGTTTTTGGCGGGATTTCATCGAGTGCGTTTGGCGTCTTATTTTAATTATTCTTTTATTTGTCCATAGTGGATGTTGTAAAATAAAATTGTTTTACATCTAGGTAGTTTTCCAATTACAGCATTATTATAGCGCATTTTGCGGCATAATGCCTAACGTTGAATGTTTCAACTACAGCAACGCTTCGCACAATCGAGCACTCTCAAAGCTAATGCTTTCGTGTCATCTCACAATCGTACCAACTCTATCGACACGATTCTAGCGTCATTCTCTAAACTTAAAACTAAATTTAACATCAGTCTCTCCTTTTCATTCTGTATTGAGAATGACAAGGATGCACTGTTGTCAAATTTAAGTTTAGCTTTAGAGAATCATGTGTTTAGGACCAAGGGTCAGCAAAAGTACTCGGCGAATTGGGATTCCTTGAAATGATAGAACTTCGTACTTGAACTAATGTATTTTAAAAACCATAACAAATCAAACAGAATCTTGAACTGGTACTGAATCCTTGATTTTATATCTATCCATATAGGAAACTACTTATAGAAAAGCACTGCAGCATCTATACCGCGATTACAAGGACTTAACGTGACATCTATTAACCAAATAACGAACTAAAGTTGTTATTATGTGAAACTTCGGAACTTAAACCATAGTGCGAGTAACAATTGCTACAGCGCCATCTTGCTTCTTATAAAAGAGCTATATGAACTTGAACATACCGCCCCCCAAGGACGATATTGAAGAAATCGTCCTTTCAAAAATGGTTGAACTTGACATAAATAAATTTAAAACGAACTGAACTGAAAAAACTTAACATTACATAACTTCATTAAAAAATAAAATTTGCTGTTAAACATTTATACACTGATAAACTATTAACAAATAAATAACAAAATAAAACAGTTGAACACAATTATACTAGTTTTCATTAATTGGCAAAACACATAATTTTGAAGTAGGGCGTTTTAACAATGAACCCCTAACTCTCAATGTGACCACTCGAGTTATATTGTCTGGCCCAGGATGTTTCTGAACAACTCGACCTATCAACCAGCGACTCGGAGGTAAGTCGTTCTCTTTTATCAAGACAACATCTCCTTGGAATTTGATAAGACCATTTATACCTATGTAAAAGCGTTGTTAGATACTCTTGAGACCAACGACGCCAGAAATTTTGCAACATCTTTTGTACAAGTTGCCATCTATGCAAAGGACTAACATAGGCGTCCTCAAAGTTACAATCAGGTACAGCAATCAATGGTTCACCCACCAAAAAATGACCGGGGGTTAACGGTAAAGGTTCGTCGATCTCGGCAGTATTAATAATTGTCATAGGCCTAGAATTAAGACAAGCTTCGACCTGACAAAGTAATGTGCTCATCTCTTCATATGTCAAGGTTGTCTCGCCTATGACACGCTTAAGGTGAAACTTGGTAGACTTTACTGCCGCCTCCCACAATCCATCGAAGTTCGGTGCATGAGGCGGTATAAAATGCCACTCTGTACCGCTAGCTTCTAAATTTTCAGCTATACTGGCCTGAATAGCAACCAAATGAGACAGTTCTCGTGCAGCTCCTACAAAATTAGAGCCATTATCGCTCCACATGTGAGCGCAGTGTCCTCGTCTAGAAACAAAACGCCTGAATGCGGCAATGAACGCTTGTGTACTTAAGTCACTTGCGACCTCAAGATGTATGGCACGGGTGGCCATACAAATAAAAACACAAATATAACCCTTATAGGCACGATGCCCTCTACCCTTAGTAGTTCTTAAGTTGATTGGACCCGCATAGTCTACTCCGCTATTGAGAAACGGCCTAGCAGGAGTGCACCGTACTGTGGGAAGTGACCCCATGAACTGACTTTTGAACTTTGCGTTTGCTTTAATACATATCACACATCTCCTAACATTTTGCTTTACTAAACCCCTTACTCCAATAATCCAGTATCCCGATCTCAAGAAATTCAACATAAGTTGGGGACCCCCATGTAGTGTACGTTCATGGGCGTCTGCTACTATTAACTTAGTAAGATGTGCTTTATGTGGCAAAATTATAGCATGCTTCGTCTGAGACGGGAGAGGTGCTTTATGTAATCTCCCGCCCACTCTTATTAGATCATCATCATCAATATAAGGACAGAGTGATTTCAACTTACTCCCTTTCGAAGTTAGGCAGCCACTCTTCTTGATCTGTAAGTATTCTTCTTTAAATTCTATCTTCTGACAATATCTAATACAACACTTAAGAGCTTCCTTTAATTCTGTCTTTTTCAGGTATTTTGGTACAACCGTATTCTTCTTCCGATGTATAAAACGTCTACAATAAGCTACTACTCTGAGGACTTTCCTAAGTGACGAATATTTTTCCCAAAAAACTTCTTCATTTATAGCTACGTGAGACATGGTGGCTTCTTCTAAATGTACTTTATTATTTCTTGGCCTAATATAACATATATTATGTTGTCTAAGAAATTTTGGACCTTGAAACCAAGTTGTATTTTCAATTAACAGTCTAGGCAAAACACCCCTCGATGCACAATCTGCTGGGTTGTCTTTTGATGAAACATGTGACCACTGATCGGCATCAATGGTTGTCAAAATCTCAGAAACACGATTGGCAACGAAAGTTTTCCACCTACTTGGGTGACTGTTGAGCCAATCCAACACCACCATCGAATCAGTTCAAGCGTGAACTCTATTTTTTTTAATTTGCATTGTTTCCATCACTTCTACTAGTAACCGGCTAAGCAGCAAGGCGCCACAAAGTTCTAGTCGTGGTATACTTATTTGTTTTATCGGTGCAACCTTACTCTTTGCTACTAACAATGACACACGAACTTGACCTCCCTTATTTTTTGTTCTCACATAAATGCAGGCAGCGTACGCCGCCTTTGATGCGTCACAAAACCCGTGGATTTCTACCCAATCATCAACGGCTTCAACACCAAGCCATCGAGGAACACGTACATTGGTAAGTTGTACTAATTGACTTCGGTAAGTAACCCATTCTTCCATTAAATTCGTTGGTACCTCTTCGTCCCAGCCGATACCTGATAACCACAATTTTTGTATAAATATTTTTGCTATCACAATGCTAGGAGCTATCCAACCAAGTGGATCAAATAAGTGTGCAATGTCTGATAAAATCGATCTCTTTGTTTCAGGTCCGGCCTTCGGTTTCAACTGTACTGAATATTTAAACACATCTTCACAACGAGACCAAGCAAGTCCCAATATCTTAGTGGTATCCATTATATCCTTCTCTTCCTTTTGTTCTTCATTGTTATATTCTTCTCTTATCTCCTTGTTCATATTATCCTTTTCACAACCTTTCCTTTCCTGTTCTATATTCACCTCTCTTTCACATTGTTGTATTATATTTAAAAGCTCTATACTATTACTATTCCACTTTTGTAAGACAAATCCTCCTTTTTTAAGTAGATCTCTCATTTCACTGTATATTTCTGACCCTTCCAGTACGCTAAAGCTTCCTGTCATCAAGTCATCCATGTAAAAGGATACAGGAACAAGATCAGATGCCCTTGGAAAATTATTTCTTTCATCCAGCGCAACTTGATGTAAACTTTTTACTGCTAGGTAAGGAGCGGATGCTGTACCAAAGGTAACCGTTACCAACTCAAATTCTTTAATTTTATCATGAGGATCTTCTCTCCAAACTATTCTCTGAAAGATGGCATCCTCAGCTGCCACTCTTATTTGGCGATACATTTTAACAATGTCTCCAACGATTCCAATGGGATAAATTCTCCAACGCATAACAATTTTGCGTAAATCTAACTGCAATTTAGGTCCTACCATTAAATCATCGTTGAGTGACACACCATTTTTATTTTTACATGAGGCATCGAATACCACTCTTACCTTAGAAGTAGTTCTCTCTTCTTTAATCACTGCATGGTGTGGAAGGTACACCGCCATATTTTCATCCCCTTCTTTCACCGGTCTCATGTGATCTAATTCCAAGTACTCATTGATTACCTTTGCATACCTCTCCTTTAACTCCTTATCTGTAGAAAATTTTCTTTCTAATGATAAAAATCTTTGCACAGCTATATCTCTGCTATTTCCAATACACCGTAGAATCTTTTCGCGAAACGGAAGTTTCACAATGTAACGTCCATCCCCTGTTCTCCTTGTAGTTGCTGCGTATATTTCCTCGCATCTTTGTTCTTCTAAGGTAAGTATTTTCTTTTTATTATTTAGCTGATCCTCAATTTCCCAAAATCTTTTTAATATATCACTGTCATTCATTTGAGCATGCATTACTGTAATATCACGAACGGTGTTCTTTCTGCTTTCAGGTGCAACCACTCCCGATATAATCCAGCCCAAGCACGTGTTCTGAGCAAGTAAAGATCCATTTGGAGATCTCTTAATATCTTCCATAACAATCTGACAATAGACGTCGGCTCCCAACAGTACATCGATTTTATTCGGCTTATAAAACTCTGGATCAGCTAATCTTAGTTGTTCTAGTTCTAGCCATTCTAATGACTGTAATTTTCTTTCAGGTATATTGGACGTGATCGCCTTCACATAAACATAAGACACATAAGCATGAATTTTAATGTCAACATTGGACTCCACTATCGATTGTAAATTAAACGTAACCATATATTTCGATACAGTTGTCTTATTTGCACCAAGACCAGATACTACCCCTCTTACTGGAGTTTTCTTTAGCCTTAAGAACTGTACTACATCCTCTCTAACGAAGCTAGCTTGCGAACCTTGATCCAGCAAGGTACGCAGAACTTGACAATTACCCAGGTTTGACTGAGCCTTTATTAGCGCTGTCGCTAATAAAACTTGCCTAGAACTCATGATCTTACCCATTGATAGACAAGAAACAACAGGTACTTCACCAATTGATGAACTAACACCTTCAGACTGAGTACTGAGGTTGACCTTATGACCTTTTGTTTGTTTTGAACTGATGTTCGAACTATTTATATGCAAAAGAGAGTGATGCTTCTTCTTGCATGTACGACAACAAGTTGGTTTTTGACATTCATTCACCATATGATTTCCTCCTAAACAGTTAAAGCAAACTTTATTATTCATGACAAAGTCGCGCCTCTTGTTAATATCTAAACTTATAAAGCCTTTGCAAAAACATAATTTATGACTTTCAGTACAATACTCACATTTAATGTTACGTTGCGTAGTTACCATTACCTTCGGATTCAATTGATGACTGTGTGAAACATTGTGCTGACCTGGGAACCTTTTAGGTTCAATGAACTCAAGTGCCCTAAAACGATTTTCAAGAAAGGTCTTAAACTGTGTAAAGGTAGGGAGATCTCCAGAGCTCTCGCTAGAAACCGCAATTTCCCATTGTTTACGGGTTTCTGTGTCGAGTTTAGAAGTAACTATAAATATAACTATAATATCCCAAGTGCTCACATTAATTTTTAGGTTTTGTAACGCATTCATACAATCAGAAGTAGTATCTAAAATTTCTTTCAAAGCACTTGCAGACTCGGCATATACACGTTTTTGTCCGAAAAACCGTTTCAAAATACAATTAGCTAAATATTTTTTATTATTGTATCTGTTCTCTAATTGATCCCAACATTGTATATAATTTTCATCTGTAATAGGTACATACCTTATCAATTGCTCTGCTTCACCGGTAAGATGCCCTTTTAAATAATGCAATTTCTGTACATTATCTAAGGAATTGTTCTTGTGCACTAAACAATTAAATAAATCGCGGAACGTGGCCCACTCGGAATATTTTCCTGAGAAAATTGGAATCGAAATTGGTGGTAACTTAACCAGTGAAGAAGTACAATTGGTCTCAATGTTCTTATTGCAAACAGTACTAACACTATGTTCTAAAGCTAATAATTCCCTTTGAGCAGTTCTCAATAAGGTTTAAAAATCTAAAATAAGTCTCTTCAACACTACCATAAATATCATTAGAAATGTACGTTGATTCTGAAATATTTTGAGAAGACAATATTTCAATTAACTTTACATTATTATCTCTAAAAAGTGACCAATCTTTTTCCAAATTTTCCGTTCTAATTTCTATATACGCCAAAGTGATTCTGCTTTTCGGAGATTTATTAAAATTAACTAAGCCTTTTTCAATTACTGATTTTAGAGCTAATTGAATTTTCAAAAGTCCTTCCATGTTTACAAAACTATAACAAGTAAAGGGAAAACAAATTAACTTAAATGACACTTGTACTAATAAAATAAACAAACTGACAATCCACTAGTCTGTGGTCAATTTAAAAGAAAAATAAAATTAATAATTTCCAAAGCTTAAAATTTTACAAGTGTTTGACACATTTGTACCGAGCGGAAATCGGACATGGATTCCCCGTTCCGTCGTTTTTCCTTAAATTATTCTAAGTCCTAAAGCTACTTACAACTATGTAGAAATGCACTAAGACGATAAATCTTTAAAATCTTCTAAGTTATCTTAACTAAGCTAATAAGGTTCAAATTGTACTTACAGTTTCTAATGCACTCACACAATTTATAATGCACTAGTAAACGCTTCCTTCTTTGGCCGCCAGGGGGCGTTCAAATCGTCGTACTTGTTTGCAGGAAACTGCCTCCAGGGGGCGCTTCACTGCACTATTCTCTTTCTCTCTCTAGAGGAGTGAACGGCAGCGTACAGCACTAATCGGCACGCCACCTGCCGTATCTTCTCAAAACTTGGGTGATCTACTTCATCTAAATCCGGCTCGAATATAGGACCATTGTTTAGGACCAAGGGTCAGCAAAAGTACTCGGCGAATTGGGATTCCTTGAAATGATAGAACTTCGTACTTGAACTAATGTATTTTAAAAACCATAACAAATCAAACAGAATCTTGAACTGGTACTGAATCCTTGATCTTATATCTATCCATATAGGAAACTACTTATAGAAAAGCACTGCAGCATCTATACCGCGATTACAAGGACTTAACGTGACATCTATTAACCAAATAACGAACTAAAGTTGTTATTATGTGAAACTTCGGAACTTAAACCATAGTGCGAGTAACAATTGCTACAGCGCCATCTTGCTTCTTATAAAAGAGCTATATGAACTTGAACATCATGCCAGAATCGATATCAGTGACAGAAAATTAACAAGTGTTTTTTCTTTAAGTTGGCATTGATCGAACGTTAGTTAATTAATCAAAGTTAATTCAAACTGTGTTAAAAAATAAATTAGTAATAAATATAGATAAAGGTACAAACATTGACCTTTTTTTATATTTCACATTTAAAATGTGAATACAATTTTATTTCAGAATTTGAATCTATAAACAAATTTATTTTACAGGAATATACTTTTGTAAACATTGTATACTACTTTAATTACACATTAATGAGGCTATTGCTAACTCTATGAATATTTTTTTTTCAACACTGAACTTAGCGCACTCTGCTGGTGCATTTGAAAACTAATTCACGTTCCCATTAAGCATCAGCATAATTCGGCATTGTGCGCCACTGAGTCGCATTATGCTCTGTAATTGGAAAGCTGCCCTAATTTATAATCGTTTGCGCAACTGAAGAATTAGTGGAATCTTTAAAATATAAGCCATTCCGGTAAAGTGGACGTGAGAACTTTAGTAACTACCTCACAGAAGCTAAACACTACAAAAAATATTAGAATGTATCACACCCACATTCTAATGTAAAAAAAGAACATTAATAAAACTGAAGACTAGACTGTATGGGCGTTGTTTCCTTTGCATTCCTGGAGAAGGGAGAACGATAAACAAAACAATCCAATTTGTAGGGTTCGTTCGTTCTTGTCATTATTGTTTTTCATTCTTCATTCATTCAATTTTTGATGTGATATGTGGCTTCTACACGATACAATTTTACGTCCAATTTGAGTAGAATAAACTTACTTTACTCTTTGCTCTGTACTCTGTGCAGTGTACGTAGTACGTTATACGAGTATCTAAGTAGTCTGTGGTGCAGTGGTATTTGTTGTGCGTGAGTGATAGGTTGTGTTTCCTTTGTGGAAGTTTTTATTACCCGATGTATGAAATACAGTGTTTCCAAGAAAACATAACACAATTTTAAACTTATGATCAGGTCTTGTATTTTGGTTATTATGTTAACTTGCAACATATACGAATCAACCGGCAGTTGACACAGTGAAGAGATGTACATAAATAAAAACATTCCGCATTATTCCAATAGCCTGTGATATTAAACATTGTTTAGCAAAAAATATGACTGTGACATATACTGGCGAAGTAGCCACATGCCGTGGCTTCGGGACTTTTCTAAAAGTTTTGTACAGGTAAGTGAACATTAATTTGCTTTGACTATCTATCTACTATGACTAAAATTAAAACTAATTTATGATATGCAATCAGAAGTCCCTGACTGTATAGCTTCCCTGGTTTTTAGATTTTACGGCACGCTATAGTTTCTATGATCAACATTGTTTATTTTACATAAAAACTTAGATCACCATTATTGGCTAAGCAAATGCTCGTGGCTTTGATTTTTTATAAATAAACAGGAGCATTTGCTAGGCTCTAAGCATTAAGCAGATAAATAGAGGCACTACATGATGTTTTTTCAGTAATTTTTAAGGTCCTGTAGTGCGAAATCCGTACTGTAAAAAGAAAAAAGAAACCCAAACCTTATAGGATCACTTTGTTGTCCCTCTTGTTGAAATAAAAACCATATTCTGATGTCTGTAGTCCTTGCAGCTGTGAAAAAATCAAGCTTCTAACATAAGGTGAAAAAATATCCTACCGCCATATGTAGCAAAAAAACGTACGGAATCCTCAGTGGGCGACTCAGACTCTTCTTTGTCCGGTTTTATTGTGTGCGATATCCGAAGGCCAGGGTGCCATTCGCCTAACGGGGTTGCTTTGGATAACGCTATCGCTTACGATTTCAATTTATTATTTCTAGCCACCTGAGGTTTTCAAATGCCTCGCGCTCTTTTTTTTTTGCATTGTTAATAACAATGTAAAAGAAAATGAGCGTGAGGTATTTAAAAACCTTCGGCGGTCAGAAATAACAAAATGAAATCGTAAGCGATAGCGTTATCCAAAGCAACCCCGTTAGGCGAATGGCCCCCAGGAGGCCTATCACCTAACGAGATTGCTAGGGCTATCGCTTATGCCTTGATCACACGTACCGTGTAAACGGTCGAGTCGGTAAAATGTTTCTCGGCCTCGACAGTGATGGAAGTTAAATCTCAAGTAAAACTGGGCATTGACAGTCACTTTTTCGCATCAGTCTAGGCATAAAATTGAGGCGTCACTCACTCCGGCTTTTCAGGTTTCGATCAGCCGGGGCTGTTAGCAGGTTTACTTGGTACCTATTTGTGAAAAAAAAACATTAATTCTTAGTGCGGTTAATGTTTGCTGCCATATAGTCAACAATAAACAAGAAAGCGGTCGAACTGACGTCATTGAATGATAATCACACACTCACGGGCAGTTTGGCGCGACGCCGGGTTAAAAACTGAAGTAAAGCTGGGCGCATTTACGGTCAGTTTTTCGTGTCAGTCTAGACGTTAAACTGTGGCGCCACTCCAAATGGTTTAGGCCAACTAGATTTCATTGGAACACGTGAAGCTCTTTTCGCACTTAACGTTCTCGTACAAAAATGTAGGGACATGCAAACTGACGTACTGATGTGTTTCATAGATTACGAGAAGGCTTTCGATCGTGTTAAACACGAACTTCTATTAAAACAACTGGAGGACATTGGTCTAGACGGCAAAGATATACGCATCATACACAACTTGTATAAGAACCAGAGAGCTAGTATTAGAGTTGATAACGAAGAAACTGAAGACATTGAGATTTGTCGTGGCGTCCGGCAGGGTTGCATTCTCTCTCCGATGCTTTTTAATATATACTCAGAGGCCATAATGTCGGAAGCTCTTGAAAACCTCGAGGTTGGAGTGAAAATAAATGGCAAGACGGTAAACAACCTACGCTATGCAGATGACACGGTTCTCATTGCAGCTTCAGCAAACGACCTACAGGCAATGATAAACCGGGTGAATGAAAGTAGTGAAAAAGCGGGGCTGACTATTAACACCAATAAGACCAAATTCATGGTGATATCGAGGAACCCTGATTTAAACCCTAACATACTGATAGGCAACAAAAACCTAGAGTGTGTGCGACACTATAAGTACCTCGGTGCTTGGATAAATGAAGCATGGGAACCTGATCAAGAAATCAAGACCCGGATTGAGATTGCCCGAGCCTCATTTAACAAAATGAGGAATATTTTGTGTTGTCGTCAAATAAACATTAAGCTCCGAGTTAGAATGCTTTTATGTTACATCTGGCCCGTAGTCACCTACGGCTGCGAAGCATGGACCTTAAAAGAGGACACTGTGAGACGTGTCGAGGCATTTGAGATGTGGTGTTATCGTCGTATGCTCCATATCAGCTGGACTGAAAAAGTCAGGAATGAAACCGTACTCCAGCGTGTCGAAATGACTCGGAAACTCATGCAAACCATCAAGAAGCGCAAAATAGAATACCTCGGTCACGTGCTTAGACACGACAAGTACAAGCTGCTCCAACTCATAATGATGGGCAAGGTTGAGGGTAAAAGGCGCGTGGGACGCAGGAAGAAGTCCTGGCTACGAAATATCAGGGAGTGGACGGGGATCAGTTCCGTCGAGCAATTGTTTCGCCTCGCCATAGATAAGGAGAAGTACAAAAAGTTAGCGGCCAACCTTCAATAATGAAGAGGCAATTAAAGAAGAAGAAGATTTCCCCACTCACTGGCGTCACTCTGGCTCTTTTTAGGGCCACAGGAGAGGCGTATCGCGCCAATCGGCTCACGTGGAGCCTATGGGGGCGGGAGAGGGACGGAGAGAACTACGCTCTCCCTCCCACTCCCGTGAGAGCCGCGGGCCTGTCCTGGGGGAGGACGAGCTCGCATTGCACAAGCTCTCTGGATGCTGATGCCCGTGATACTCCGGGGCATCTTCATCGGGGCGGGTCCAGCAATGGACAAACACCGGCGGATGCGTGGCCAATTGGAAATCAGGTGCCACGACTACATCCGCACTCTCGACACGCATTGGGAGGACTAAGGTCCTCTGAATGCGTGTCGGGTGACCGGTGCAGGGGTATTGTCTGGTTTTTAGTGGCCCTGTTCAGGGCGTAGGTAGTGCCCTGCACATTTCATCGAGGCCGAGGGCTGGATGAAATGAGCAGGGAGGAGTCCCACATACCTTCCTCTCACTCCCCCGGTGGTTGAAGGATGCATAAAGCATAAGGCCAGTCTAACCTTGAGATTTCGATTTCTCGGAGAGCAGCATTGACTCATTGACCTCGATGTGCGAGCGCATTATCGTCAACCAGTACAAATTGGTGCCCATGGTTTACTCGGAAAGGTCTGACGATTCCATCAATAGCGACTGTTTTGTATCTGACTGCCATCATGAAGCCTTGATAAGGGATTAAAAGCGTTCTAGCACTGATTTCCCACCTTGCTAAACTGTTCCAGTGGCTGTTTTTTGCCTTTCAGAGTCTCCAGGTCTTCTCCAAACACAGACACGTTGGTTATCTGGATGAGTACTGATTCGCGATTTGTCAACGAAGAGGCAGTTTTGCCAAATGTTTTCCTCTTCGTCTTCTTCGGTTTGCCGTAGCCTAGCCCACTGAATCTCCGTCGCTGACGTTCCCGTGAATTCAAATGTGCTCGCCAAGACCTCCGTGCTCGTAATCCAGCCTTGTGTAAGCAATTCCGAATGGTCGAGTGCTAACTTCAATTCCGGAGGCGGCCCGTATTTCTGCTTTTTATTTAGTGGCGTTTATTGTTGTCGCGGGCTACCAACAACATTCTTTTTTTTTCGATGACGGGGAGAAAAAATTGTATTATATCCACGACAATGACGAACGCCACGTTGGTTTGCTGTAACAAACCCTCGCGACGCAGGTAATTGCGTGGTGCATTCGGCAAGCGGCGAGCCGCCCGAGAGCCGCTAGTCGGTGCGGGTATACTTTGACGTGCACTCACGCAAGCGTGGCATACGTCAAACCACCCCGCTTCCGAACAGCAGCCCGGTCCGCACCCTGGGCTTCTCCGTTCACAGCGTCACCTGGCTAGTCTCACGGACCGCAGTCCGAGCGGCTAGCCAGCCGACCAGCTCCCGTACCTACCAGGTAAACCAACTCCCCGATCTACGCTTCACCCTCCAGGCGTAACTGCGGGGTTATGAGTCGCCGCTTGTTACGCTTGGGATTCCTACCCTCTCGCGATGGTGCCGCGGAGCACCCCCTCCCTGGCAGTGTCACAGAAGGTACTGCTAGAGGACTAACAGACGGGCTCGGCGCCGCCGACCAGTCTTCCCCCTCCTGCGTCGAAGAGTTCGCGTGGGCTTGTTCCTCGCGAGCTCTCTCCGCCGCCTCCTTCCGAGAAATGACCTCCTCACAGAAAAAGACCACCACCTGCCAAGATCTGTCACTTCCCAGCATGGCCCGTACCACGCTGGGGAGCGAGAGATCCATCCCCACTGCCGCTGTCAGAGTGCCGCGCTGCTGTACGACGGGCACTCCTCTAGGGTGTGCTGCGCTGTGTCCACCGCAGCGCCACACTCATGACAGGACGGGGTTGCCTCCCTCCGGATCCGGTGCAGGAATTTACCATAGCATCCATGCCCGGTAAGAACCTGTACTAGACGTAGGTCAGTGACCCGAACTTGCGGGACGCCCAGTCCCTGAGTAGCGGGCGCAGAGCGTCTAGGGTTCGGAGTCCGGATGTGGATGACTGCAGCATCAGCTGCCATCTCCCCATCAGGTCTTCCGCCTGACGACGGGTCTGCGCCAGCTCCCCAGGGGCTAGTCGTTCCCCACGTGCTATCGTACGCCTCCGCGAGAACTCTAGCATCGAGTTCCCACGAAGGCATACCGGCCAGCGCGCAGGCGGCTGCCCAAGAGACGGTTCGGTACGCCCGGACTGCTCTGTTAGCCGCCACTCTTTGCGGTCTTTTCTGCGGCTCTCCAGAGCAGGCCATGCCACCATATAGGGCCATGCTTCTGATGACTCCGGCATAAAGTCGGCGACACTCATTATTTGGGCCGCCGACGTTAAGCAGGAGTCTTGGGCTACCACCAACCTGATGTAGCGCTTCTGAGCAGCTGTCAAAACAGTGGGTCGATCAGCTAAACTATCCATGCCGTGGTACTTCTGCAACGTGGTACACAGGGATATGACAACTCTGCGTGCTATTTCTCTCGTAGCCTTCTCTTCCCTCAAAGTTACAATTCTGGTTTGTTTAACATCTGATAATCCTCGTGGCATTTT